AAATAATTTATTTCGCATGATTATGCGAATCTACTACGTCAAATACTTAACAAAAACGACAAGTAGAAATATAAAAGTTGAGTAACTTATAATTTATTTAAAAAGAAATGTAACTGTAACTAAACTTGGTAGATGCAAAAGAAAAACCACATATTTATAATATTTTGAAAAATGAAAGAAAAAACTTCAGTCTGGAGACAGGTACAACTACAATAAATGTAGATTTATTAAAATAAATTATGTAATCACCGATTTGCTTAATTTTACAAAACCATTAACTCAACAAAAGTGTCTAATATATAAAAATATTTTCATAAACCTGATTCATTTTTTAATATATATATATATATATATATATATATATATATATATATATATATATATATATATATATAGCACTTTAAATGTCAGAGTTAAAGTACCTAAAATTAGTATTTTGACACAAAGTATATGTGCGTGTCAGATCGGTTTAGAATATTCTATCAAGCTATCCTACGAGTGTCATAAAAGTGTTAGTCGACTTTACTAGAGACGCCTGGAAGACTTGGTCTGCGCCAGAGAGTTTAATAAAGCAACATTAAATTATGTATTCTGCACATAAAATTTGTTACACCACACTGATATGTAACGACAATCAGCAATTTCGTAAAGTTTTCATTTCATAATATAAGATAGAATTTATAATTTTAAAAAGTGCAAAATCCGCAAAGTGGCGGTTTCTCGAACTTTTTCCTATAGTGGTTAATAGAATATAATTAAATTCGACTAACACAAATCTTGATTAAAACTTTAAACACAATTTTTGGAATAAAGTTTGTCCAGTATTAAATTTTCGATATTTTAATTTAGTTTTTCATTGCAATGTTTGCGTTATAATTATATAAGGAGAAGTAATTAAATGTTTAGCCGTAATAAAATTTTTGTTTACAATTTTAAAAAAAATCGGCTATTCTTGTTTCGCAAATAATCTTGATAATGTTCAGTAATTTAATCATAAATAGGCAGCTTACAATAATATGAGTTTACCTGATAAACAGTCAATCCGCAAAATAACTACTTACTTGATTAAAAAGATTCACGATTGCTTAGCGAAGACTATGATAACCCTTTAAATAACACCCATTATAAACGTTTACATTTTGGTGTTTTATGCGGGGCTCCGTCGACTGCACTTTGGTATTACTTCGGCGGAGGAGGGACACACCCATCCCTCTCTATTAAGGCGTTTCTCTCAGAAAATGATTTCTTTAATGATAAATTTTTTAATCTTTAACATTAAAATAAAAAACATACGCACCTCCGGCGGGGGGAAAAGGTGGGTGGCTCAAAATTAGATTAAATGCTTTCGCTCTAAGTGCTTATCAAAATTTTATAAGCATGAGTCACTCATTGCAGTTTATATAATTAATATGCTGTACTAAAAAAATTACAGCCGTCCAGAATGTCAAAAATTGCCGATAGATTTAATGTTAAATGTTTGCTAGCGATGGTTTGCTAACCAATTATCTATTTCTGCTGCTAGATTACATTTCTCTGCTGACAAAAACATAAGTACTATGCCAGGCTTTAAATAACACCCTTATATATAAGTAGTACGTATATTTATAATTATTGACGAACATTTTTAGCTTTAGTAGGTTCATGTGGCACCCATGGTTATAAAATATGTCATAATGTGTATTATTTTAAAAATATTATGTATAATCTTTTATTAAAAACGCAACAAATTCGGAAACTTAAGTTTTAAACTACTAGCGACATCTGTTGTTGAGAAGCAGGAATCACTTTTTTTTAATATTTACAATATGATCCTGATTGTGAGAACGTGTTTTTCAAACGCATATTTAGTATTATTATACAAATAAAATATTTAAATGAATGATCTATCACTGATTTACTTAATATTAAGTAATTAGAACAAATTATAAATAAATTTTATCATCATATTATATATCATCCCGATCAAAAAATAAGATTCAGGATTGCAAATTATTATACATAGTACATACAAAGTTCATTATTTTATCGTTTTTTCGAATGTATTTTTTTATAGCCGTTTCGGCATTCCTCTGTTGTGTGAAGTTCTATAAACTTTTAGCAATGAACCTTATTTTTCGAAAAATCAAGCTTCAAAATAGCATAAAACGTCAAAGGCGATTTTGAACATAAAATCTGGAGTAATGGGTCTAAAAATGGGCCATTAGGTACTGAATATAATTCGATTCGTTTTTTTTTTCATTATTTCTTCACATAGTAGAGAGAATTGGCCATAATCGCCACGCTTTGCCGGCAGATTGGCGATGTACCTACCTACCTAAATACTATACAAATGCCTAGGTACGTACTACAAATAAGTAAGTAAGTATTCAAAAATAAGACATATTCACATTTCTTTTCAACAAAATTAAACAAAATTAAAGGCAAATTAATTGTACCTAACAAAACAAAGGTAAAGCGTAAACATTAAAATATATTTTTATGGCAGTTGAAAAATATTCAACTCCAGAGAATATTAAAATAGTAATTAATATAATAAAATAATAACTGGCTCCTTTATAAATTAATGTTTTTATTCTTTAAAAATTTTTGTTCACGTATATATTTATATATCGACTGGCCTGTTGGTCTAGTGGTTAGTGACCCTGACTGCTATGCCGGAGGTCGTGGGTTCGATTCCCACCCAGGACAAATGTTTGTGTGATGAGCACGATCATTTGTTCTGTGTCTGGGTGTAATTTATCTATAATATTTATGTATTTAGAAATATATAAGTATGTTTATCAGTTGTCTAGTACCCATAACACAAGCTCTGCTTAGCTTGGGACTAGATGGCGTTGTGTGATAGTTGTGGAATATTATTATTATTATTATTATTATTTGTTTGAGTTCGAAAGTGACAGTTATTCATAAAATTTTCTCAAGTGTATTTTATTTGATTTTTACTAATTGATCAATTTATTTAATTAATTGATCAATTCATTTTATTTTATAATTGTTTATGATCATTAATCTACCACATATTTTGTTGACACTAGCTGACATTTCATAAACAATAAGAGCTCATTATTATAATACAATTTCAATGCAGATGTCGGTAGAACATAATTATGTCTCAACAAATGAAGGTAGGTACTTACCATGTCTGACAAATAAATAAATAATTAATATATTATTATTACAACGTGCTATAAAATACTTCGTCAATCCTTTGATACGCAAACTAAAAGGTTAATACCTATGCGGTTTTGTATTTGTTTGGCGTTAGTTTTGACTAATATATGATTAAAAACCGAATAACGCGGGTGTAGTTACATTAGGTACTTGACTAGTAGTTATGTGGCGACTGTATATTTTAAGTCTCATATAAAATCGGTACTACATGTGGTATTCCAACGCTTTTTCCGTACATTTAAATAAAATTCTACTATATTACTAAATTATTCGTTATCATTCTCATTGAGTTGAAGCACCTTCGGCATAGCTGCCCGTCACTGTTTTGGTATTTTAAGTCTTGCATAAACGAATTGTTTATACCGCCATTAATCGTGAAGCTGTAATATTCTAGACACAATCGGGTAAATAAAGCGATTATATAAGATTATTATAATGAGATCATATTTCCAGTTAAGCGTTCTATTAAGAACTAGCGAACATTAGCATTTTATTGAACACACTCGTTGGTACCCACCCAAGTAACAATTAAGTTATATCTAACTTTGGACATAAGATTTTCTTTGCCATTTCCACAGTCGGCTTTTACGACAGCTACAGGTCTGAATGGGGAGATTGATCCTTAGATATGCCGTCACCTCACGGCACATGAGTATATAGTATATAACAAACCATACATATGTATATATGATAATAACCGAAAAACATATGAATAACAGCGATGAATGCTCAAAGAAATCTCAGAAACGATTTAGAGTCAAACTAAGTTAATTTTATAAATAAGGCACTTGTGAAATGATACCATTCCAATTGTGTGGTTGAGGATTTCAAATTGCTTTATTTTTAAAATCTAGTGGAAGATATAAAATGTCGTTGATTCTCGCGCGGTGCAAGTATTTGTATGGCATAAAAATAAATATCTCGGGTGTAGCTGCTTGTCCATGGGTAGTTAATATATGCAAAACGTCTCTACTATACAAGAGAAATACCTTGTGTGAGGACTTAAAAATATATGGCAATAAAACAATAATAAATATAAAATTCACAAGTAGCAAATATCACATCACAATACCGTTATATAAAATAACCGAATATCAAACATTTATTACTCTACAAAATATACTACACTGCCTACACTAGGCTCCTTTTCTGCTCAGGAGTTCGTAAGAGCAGATACCATCTTCTTTGAATAAAATTACTTTTACGGATTTTTTCGCGTTTTATCTTATTTTGATTAATCTTATTTTTATTATTTTTATTAATATATATATAATATTATATAAACTTATTTATCTTATTTTTATTAATTCCCGAAGTTTCGCGTGCTTTACAGCATCCGTGGTTACGGGGGACTGAGGTGATTGACGTCCCGATGTCACAGTTGACCCGGAGTACCTTCAGCTTTTTTAATTATTATTACCTCAGTCTCAGCTCAGTCTCCCGTGATCACGGGTACTGTAAAGCACCCGAAACGTCGGGAATTAATAAAAATAAGATACATAAGTTAATTAAACGCGAAAAAATCCGTAAAAGTAGTTTTATTCAATGTGTAGTGTTCGCGTAAATATAAGATCTTCTTATATATTTCTGCCACCAATTAGCAGTGCTTGCACAGCTGTGTTCCGGTGAAGAGTATAGTGAGCCATTATAATTACAGGCTGTGAGACATTCCAAATTTGTCCTCAGAAGTGACGACACATCTGTAGTCTTCTTTGTTTGAAGTTTGAACTACAGTAGGCACTTTCTATTAGGTGGACTGTAAGCCCGTTTGTCGCTTCAGTTTTATAAAAAAAAAAACATCTTTGTAACATACCGTATTATTGTTCTAGGTGACAGTTCCGGCTCATGCTCGGAAGAAGAAATAAACCATGTCTTACCTGAAGATCCGAGAGAACGGCCAGATGCACACATGTGCCCACGTTGTCAAGAACAATTCGAAAATATTCATGATTTCTTATACCACAAAAGAGTTTGCGATGAGAAGGCAATGCAAATGGGCGAAGAGAGAATGCACTCTGATCCAGAGGAAATGGTTGTTTCGGGGGACGAAGAGATGGATGGGCCGAACAAACGTTTAGAACAAGTACGAAGGCATCGACAAGATGCTGAAAACAATAACAGTCTTGAAGATGGCGAGGCGGAAGTACCTGAAGCTGACGTACCGCCGGTGGGACTCCCCTTCCCAGTAGCCGGTCACGTAACGCTGGAAGCCTTACAGAACACGAAAGTGGCTGTAGCTCAATTTGCCGCAACGGCAATGGCAAACAACGCTGATAATGAAGCGGCTTTACATGAGCTTGCTGTTTTACAAAGCACATTGTTTACACTGCAACATCAGCAAGTGTTTCAACTGCAGTTAATTCGTCAACTACAAAATCAACTGTCGCTAACGCGACGGAAAGATGAACAGCGCCCAAGCCCTCCGCCCAATGAACCAGAGCCAGTAGTGCCTGCGCCTCCGGCTCCATCGCCGTCACCGCCTCGTCCGCCACGGGAGCCATCTCCTCCTGTACCTACTCCTCCTACAAGCCAAAACTTGCCGTCGACCCATTCGCATCTTACGCCAAAAACGGAACCAATTACCATTCCTAAGCTTCCGACCTCGTCACCACCTATGATGAGTCATCCACCCTACAGTTCCATATCGTCATCGTTAGCATCTTCCATAATCACAAATAATGATCCACCGCCGTCCTTGAATGAGCCCAACACTCTCGAAATGCTTCAAAAACGAGCACAAGAAGTACTTGATAACGCTTCGCAAGGTTTGCTGGCTAACAACCTTGCCGACGAGCTTGCTTTTCGTAAATCCGGAAAAATGTCACCGTATGATGGAAAATCTGGAGGGCGAAACGAACCTTTCTTCAAGCATCGCTGCCGATACTGCGGGAAAGTTTTCGGCAGTGACTCTGCACTACAAATCCACATTCGTTCGCACACAGGTGAAAGACCTTTTAAGTGTAATGTGTGTGGTTCTCGATTTACTACTAAAGGAAATTTAAAAGTACATTTCCAAAGACATACTGCGAAATTTCCGCATGTCAAAATGAATCCAAATCCGATACCAGAACACTTGGATAAATACCATCCTCCTCTATTAGCACAACTGTCGCCGGGGCCTATTCCTGGAATGCCACCCCATCCACTTCAATTCCCTCCGGGTGCTCCTGCACCTTTTCCGCCAAGCTTGCCGTTATATAGACCACCACACCATGATTTACTGCCCCCACGCCCACTGGGTGATAAACCTCTTCCGCCTCACCCACTTTTTGTAATGAGAGAAGAACAGGACGCACCGGCTGATCTCAGCAAACCTTCTCTACCAAGTCCTCCTCGTGCACCCGAAATGTTTAAATCCGAACCTCAAGATGATGAATGTCAACGGGAATCCAGTTTTGAGGACAATGACCGTGTATCACCAAAGCGAGAACCTGAAGAAAATGACGCTGGTCAAGATGCAGAACAAGATAGATATCCCTCAACGTCTCCCTACGATGATTGCAGCATGGACTCGAAATACAGCAACGAAGATCAAATTGGCAGAGAGAGTCCACACGTGAAGCCTGATCCAGATCAACCGGAAAATCTTTCAAGTAAGAATTCACCGATATCTGGACCAATTTCAATAGCAACGGGACTTCGTACTTTTCCTTCATATCCATTGTTTCCGCAATCTCCTCCAAGCAGTATTTCCTCTGGTAGCCTTACACCTTTTCACAATATTCCTCACGGTGTTGTTGAGCCTGATTTGGCTCGTGATCCCGTATTTTATAATTCATTACTGCCGCGGCCTGGAAGTAATGATAATTCATGGGAAAGTTTGATTGAAATAACTAAAACTTCAGAAACTTCTAAATTACAGCAATTAGTCGATAAAATAGATAATAAGGTATCTGATCCTAATGAATGCATAGTATGCCATCGAGTCCTATCTTGTAAAAGTGCTTTACAAATGCACTATCGAACACATACCGGTGAACGACCGTTTCGATGCAAGCTCTGTGGTCGAGCTTTTACAACTAAAGGTAATTTAAAGACCCATATGGGTGTCCATCGCATTAAACCACCATCACAAATGTTACATCAATGTCCAGTTTGTCATAAAAAGTTTTCTGATCCCACCATACTTCATCACCACATACGGCTTCACACTAGTGACCGAGGTAACATTTCCTTCGACCAGGTCCGCGGTATTGAAGTCAACTATTTTCCTCAATTCAGTCATACTTCCGATGCCAGTGAATTCACACCCTACCGACCCATCCTACCATCTATGTTTCCTACTCCGTCCACTCCCGGCGACCGACGGGCGGACTCCCGCGGAACCGACGATGAGAGCGGCCGGGACGAGCGTGAGCCCGCTACTCGGGAGTTCGACGACGACTCAGATATGAAGGATCGTCGAACTTCGCCGCTCTCCGTCTGCGCCTCGGCGTCCGAATGCGAAGTTAAAACCATCACAACAACGGCTTCCCTCCCATCGGCGACAGGTTCGGAGAGCGGGCGGAGCGCGCGGGCTTCGCCGCCGTCGCCATCGCTGTCGTCGCTGTCGACGCCGCCGCGGCTGCCACAGCACTCGCCGCTGCCTTCACCGCCCACACCTCTTGCTGCGCTCGGTGCTCTCGGTGGATCGCCCTTCAGCCCACTCGGACTCGCGTTTCCTCCCGCAGGTATGCGATAGCGGGATATTATGTTCGTATTTACGTCCGCCCCGGTCGTCCATGCATCCGTTCCTTCCAAAAAACATCCTAATATTGCAATCTAGTAATAACCTAAACACCGGGCGCTTGATAACACGCTGAAAGTATTCATTCTAAATGCATCCTTGCAAGATACTGCCTTTATCATCACTTCTATAAGAGTTTCTCCGTGCGTTTGGACAATAAAAGTGACATTGAACAGTGGATTTATTTGTATGCAGTGCGCGGCAACACAACGTGTAACATCTGCTACAAGACATTCGCCTGCAACTCTGCTCTGGAGATCCATTACCGCAGCCACACTAAGGAACGACCGTTCAAGTGCACTGTCTGCGATCGTGGATTTTCTACAAAGGTTAGTTATATTGCATATATCTCCGTAATTCCAATTGTATGGGTACAAATAAAATGAAATATATTTATGATCTGACAAAGATTTTACATACAATATTTTAAAACATATAAAACACTTATAAAATACGAAACGCACCGCAAAGGCGGTAATGTCATACTGCGTACCTTGGGTTTGTAGCCCAGTGTAGCTCCGATTGAAAGCGTTGGCTCGATGCCAGTTTATTCTTTATTGTTACACAAATAGCGACACATAGTTACACTTTCATGACATTCTATTTGATTGTCGAATTCTCATTCGTAGGTACAATAATAACAACGTTATCATAATTATTGCAAATTATAAAAAAATATATATAATAATATGTTGGTAATAATAAAGACGATGCGATGCTAAGCAACGGTTATAAATATCACATACATGTTGAGTTTAGTCTAACCAGTAATTCTAAGACTTAAATCAAATGACATCGCATCTAACTTACAAGTTTACCCGGCAAGTCGCAGCAAGTTGCCAGCGCGCTGCAACGAACTTCATGCTCCGGTTTCATTTCATCCAAGTTTCGGTGCATTAATTTTGCAAGAAGTAATTACAAGTCCCTAGTCGACGCTACTTCGCATTAGTTTAGCCGTTGTCTTCCTATAGCACATCCGAGCCGCTGTCGACTTGGCGAATAATTGACGACACATCTCCACAGATTAGTAGGCTCGTTAATTTAAGTTAAAAAATATAAACGTACTTTATTGATAACGCTCGGCCAAATTATTTTATTTATATAAAAGCAATTATGTAAACAAATTGGTATAATATTTTTCAATTACATTCTTTTATCATTAAACCCATTTTGTTGTATTACCTATACTTAAAGTTGCTCAGATAAAATGACTTCTGTTCAAGCGAATACTAAACATTGAATAAAATCTAATGGATTCACTATGACATTAGGGCGTTCAATATCTTAATCTTCCCGTGACTATTAATGCTGCAAAACACTGTAAAGGTCGGAGTTATAAATAAAAAATAAGTAGGTAAATCGTACGCGATAAAATCTGTTAAATTAGTTTTATTTAATGGCTCCAATAATATAAGAGGTATGCTTCATCTTCAAATTTACACGTCCTAAGTACATTGGGTAAAGCGCTTTCTATGTCTTTATTTCGTAACCGTTTAGAATCTCGATCTACTACAAGAACAAATTTTTAATTTTAATTTTGAAAAAAGTTTTAACCGAGTTTAAAAAACGAGCAGGCTCTTTATTCGCCGCATTAGTTTTTTATGTATATCTACTGATTTCTCGGAAACAAATAGGCCTTACTTCAGGGGTAGTCCCATATACATTTTAAGGTAAAATTCCATCCCCAAGAGTGAAAAATAGGGGATTAACATTTTTATATAACTAATAAGACAACATTTTAGTTATTATCACTTTCAAATTTTTTAGTTCATACACAAAGGGTCATAAAATTTTACTTTTAGAAAAAAGAAAAAGTTGAATTTAAACAATTAAAAATAATAAAATAATGCCTACATAATAGCTTCCAAAATCCAAGCTCTATTGCTTAGACCACTCAAAAGGTTAAAATTATTAAATTTTTGATCAATAGTACAATCCACTTTTTACGTGGTAGAGCTACGCTATAGCTCTATTATGGTTGTGCCACGAATGGATCGGCGTTCTCACAGAATACCAGCGCGAAATAGCAGTTTTACTGGATCATTTTACTGGAAATGAGACATTCCATCTTAATCCTCAGGGGTGACAACACTTTCTGCATTTTGATTCTTAATCGGGGATAGGTGTAAATATGGGCATCTACTTACCATCAGGTGGACTATGTTTTCGTTTGTAAAACTTCACAACTACAAAAAATATGAAGGCTTTAACTCTTCAATACGTAATTTGTTTTAGCACCGATAACAATACTCGTAGCAAACTGTCAAGTGTAAATTGTTATTTTTTTAGTTTTGAAGTGGGCTTTTTCTTTTTAAAAATAATTAAATTATTGATTAATATTCTTTTAAACAATAAAGGCACCACCAAAAATCAGACAGGTCGGTCTAGGGCTCAATTTATCTTAAAACCTTGTATATTGATATTTTTAATGTTAAATCACACAAAATGCCATTACCGTTACAGTCTCTCAAAAGTCCGTCATTTGTTCAGCAGTACCATAAGGAAATTTCATTATTAACAGAATATTTGTTAATGATTTCTTACATTATGTATTTACCTACGAGAATATTATTTGCGTGGCATATTTCTTATCATTATTTTGGGGCGTAGCATAGAAGTGAAAGGTTATGATACTTTCGTGCGTTAATTACGCATTAATATACACGGACTCTTATCGCTTACTATGTCATGTATTTGTGGCAACTTCAACTAATGTAAACTAAGTAACTTTCGCCAATATCTTCTTGCAGACTACCTTCACCTGAAGCGATTGCAAATACAACAATCGCTTCTCAAGTTCTCAAGGCATTGATCTCAACATTGAGTCACTTTTGCATTATCAAAACGTACATTTTACTCTTATCTTTGGTCAGTTGAATAAATGTTTATTACACTATAAAAATATTTAAAAAAAAGTATTAATACTGGTATTATGCTGATGTCTCGTCGAAAATTGAGAAGTGTACGTTGGTTAATTATTTTCAGTTAAGTATAACAAACAATTTACTATGATAGTAATTTTAATCATAAATATTTTAAAAAGTATGTCTCCAAACTATTTTGGAGTTTAAAAGAATTAACTCAGACCGTAGATGGACCAGAGGAATGCCGCTACTTATAATTTTTATTTAAATAGTTTATATTTAAATAATAAAGCAATTTCGAGATCTACTTAAGGAAATTAATTCAATGTTATAATCAATAAATAAGCGTTGTTAAAAGTGTTTTTGTTTTTATGGTGATTCGAGTTTTATAATCAGTTCGGCCAATATTTCAAGAGCGTAGAGCTGCGCTTGCGTCGCGGACCATCTCGCTGCGCCACAAAAATGATAAGTCATAAAAACAACGTCACAGAAAACGATAGGAATATTAATTCATGTCGTAAAATATTTATTGCTTATAAATCCTTGAGCCTTTACCTACGCTTCGCGTCATAAAAAGATTATTTATGCTTGACAAAGTAACATTTTTCGTATATTTCCGAAAGTGTCCATGCAGAGGCCTTATCAATAAAATGTAGGTTATTTATAGCGGCGCCGCATTTTAAACTTTTGAAGAATGCCTGTTACTGGCCACTTTTGTTTAATCAAGTACTGTATATATAAAATTCTTTAGTAACCTACATAAATATGATTTACATCCGAAGTTTCCCAAAATTCCGAGTACTACCTAATTACAAATCATGCAATAATTGTATATTTGTAAATTTGAAATACCAACCTTAAAATTTCTACTTTTAATATAATCGTGAACTTACATAATTGAATTGGACAAGATAATATATCAAAAGCAGTGTCGTAAAAAAGTGTAAAACTATGAAATTCTTTACAGCATTACTCTTAACCTTATGGGTAGTCGTCTTTAAATATTTATTTATTATTCTTAAATCCATACAAAAATATATTTTATACTTTAAGTTAGCTTAAACATTATTTAAAACATTTTATATATATAAATAATCAATTAATAACATTTTATTAATCTCTTATAATTATTTTATTAAAAAAAAAGTTAAAAGATCCGAAGCAAAAAGTTAGAAGAAGCCGACTTGAAAAAACAAAAAATAATGATTTCACATACTGAAGTCGGTACGAAGGCACAGTACCTATAAAGAAAAATTAAAGCTCCGAACCAGAATATGAAATACTTTATTCCTTTGATTCTTTGACTCGGATTTTAATGTTTATTAAAAGTTATTTTTTAACCTTTTGAGTGGACCTAAAAATATCACAATCTCAATGTCAAACTAAATAATTATATTAAAAATTTCACCCTATTTTGCTACCCTTAGGTATAGGAAATTTCCATTAAATTTATATGGAACCACCCCTGTACTATAACCTATTAAATTAGAAAGAATCATCAAAATAGGTTTACAATAATAGCTCAAATAAAAATAGAAAATATAGTGATCACTTAAGATTTGTGAAAATGTTCTTATCCAAGGTACTCGATGCTGTGTAGAAACAATAAATATATAATATGTATATATTACATAAGCACGTGTACCTATACATCGTCTATCACGTAAGTATATATGCGTCTTCATCCTTAGACTTAAACTAGCGCGTAGGTTGTTCGCACGTTATTAAAGGTATTCATGTCGTACGTATCTACTGTCTTCTTAATTTCACCCTTCATCTTACGAGAGCGAAAGGTCAGTGGGTAAACATTCAATATCTCTCATGTAAGCAAGCTCCTCGGAGTATCGCGGACTGATTTTTATAAGATCATTTTAGATAGCAATTGATAACTATTAGATATAAACTGTATTGCCTTATCTTTTTATATAAGAATGACAGAATAGCACACAGTCCACAGACCTGGGATTGTCTGTTTGTTTATAGTAATAGATACAACGGCCCATAGACAACCATATTATATCCATATATCCGTTAATAATCAAAAAATGTAGATGCTAACCCTGCATGATGACTAGCTGCTGTCCGAACGAAGGCTCTCTGTTTAAGACCGAATTTTGATTAATCACTCCAGTGAACTTTTAGTTTTATTATTTATTTATTTAAACTTTGTTGCACAAAACATGTACAAATATTTAAACATTTACTATGTAGTTCTATGTTCGCCTAGAAATTTATTTGTAGTTCCTGGGAAATTTTATTACGGCATTCGCCTGTTTGATGTTTGGCTACTGTTAATGCTCTGTTTTCAATGCAGATTTTCCAGGTTTGTCACCATTTGTATTGTAATTATTTTATGATGACCTGTAGTATGAATGTCTAAAGATCTGCGTCATAGCAGAATTTTTAAAAATAGTGCATAGAATTAGACACTATCTCAGTGTATAAAGTACGACAACATTAGCAGCGTTACTAACTCCTCTGCTATTTTTTCTTCTAATAATGAGATAAAGGCTTTTTCATTACGGTTAAACGTACATATATAGAATAATGAAATGCTTTGAAACTATTAACCCTATTTTGTTCATTGCAATTAAACATTTATAGATATATAAAACACTTTTAACCGCTGTTATGTGTTACGCAAAATAGTGAAGATATTAAGAAGAGAGTATAGCTGTGACACGTTATCAGATATTTTAATAGTCGGTTGCTCACGTACCTACAAGCGACAAGCGCATTACAGTAAATGTCGCCGACACGAACACAACCGCCCGGGCCAACCGCGAAAGTTCAAACGACAATCTATTTTTATACTGCTAATAGTTTTACTTCCGAAACAGTTTCTATTTCTAGTTAACAGTCATGCCAAATTATTACTAATCACCAGTCCTCTACTAAATATTATATTCTAGACTATTAAAAACGGCGACGACTCCGTGACTCAGTGGCTTAGTATTGAGTTACGGCGCTAAGGCCGCGGTTTCAAATCCCGCGCGGAACAACTATTTATATAGCCTACGAATAATTCTTCAGGGTCTGAATGTGTGTCATTGTGCAATTTATGTATGATAAAAATGGTAGTGTGAGGATAATGTTTTTAAAAGAAACACCCGTTTTACAATACATATTATAACGCCATATTCCTCCAATGACGCAGAGGCACAAATGAAAAATGCAAACAATTTTTTATTTTACAATGTTAGGCACCTACATCTCGCCATTCTTAATACCTAAATATTTTATATTTATTTTGATTGCAGTACTAAAATTATTAACATTAATAGCATATAAACTATTTTTAATAAAACGTATTAAAATGCAAACATTCAAAACAGTGCGAAGAACAAGCACATCGAAGCTTAGCGAGAAATAAGTCTCATGAAAACCTGTTTCAGATACCTGCGTTTAAATATGTTCACACGTAAAGATACGGTGACTAGTTGTTTTCATTCTAATATCGTGAATGAGGTTTTATAATTCAATTCAAATACTGAATATATATATTAGATATTAATTTATATATGGAATATACGTGATGTATATGATAAAGTACCTAGTACGATGAAAATAACAAATGTTATTTATACCTTTCACATTGTGCCAGTAATAATTAAACCAGCCAGTAAACTTTGTATTACTTGCACCTATTTTGAGAGCTAATATTGATTAAATAATTAACGATCCCCCGGCTTCGCACGGTTTATTTCTGGAACTCGACAACAACGCCACCTACCGGGTCCAATTGTGAATCTAAACCATTATCTAATCAACTTAATCACACACACAAAATTTCTGCAAAATCGGTCCAGCCGTTTAGGAGGAGTTCAATCACATACACACGGACATAAGAATTACAGTAAAACTTCGTTAAGTGAGACCTGGATAAGTGAGAAACCTCCATAGCTGAAACTCATGCTTAGGTCCCGACACTTTAGCACTGAATTACCTCTGTTAGTGGGACAAAACAAACATCTATATCTGGGATTAGTTCTTTCGATTTTATCTTCATAATTAGCTCTATAATTGAGACAGCGAGTGTATTTTACCTCTTTTACTGAGACTATATTTTAGGGATTAGTTCTTTCGATTTTATTCGTTATAATTACCTCTATAATTGAGGCAGCGGGTATAATATTTTATCTCTTTCACTAAGCCTATATTTTGTGTACCGTTTTGTTTACTAATTCTCATTCTACCCGCAAATTCCGCACTTGGCTAATTGTGTAAAAATGACCTACAGTTTTAGTTTTATTTTGCTATCGTCTGGATGTTTATGTATTATGTTTACAAAATACGTTATTTTATTTAATAATCGCACGCCTATAACTGAAATAACCTGTATTCTCACCTGGATGTCTGAGATCTCTTTAAGTGAGACAAATTTGCAGGTTCCTTAAAGTCCCAGTTATCCAGATTTCACTGTATATAATATGCGTGTGTTATATTATATATAAAACTTCCTCTTCAATAATTCTGTCTATTGATGAAAACCACATCAAAATGTGATGCGTAGTTTTTTTTTTATTAAATAAGGGTGACAAACGAGCACACAGTCCACCTGATGGTAAGTGGTTGCTACGGCCCATAGACATCTACATCTATCTTCGATCGCGAATTAAAATGCAGATGCGTTGTCAGCTGTGAGGACTAAGATAGAATTACTCTTTTTCAGTAAAAAGGGTATCCGGTTCTCTACACTCACCATACGAAATACAGCAGCATTAAGCTACTATTTTACGCTAGTATTCTTTGAGAGCGTAGTCCTTCCCCGGTCGAGCCCATTCGTACTACAACTATACTATAAATATAGCTGCAGTATGGCTCTAACACGTACACGTAGTTTAAAAAATACAATTTAAAAGGTACCGACGGCGGGAAGCGAATTTGGTTTATACTACTTATGTAGAGATTTCCAAGAGGACAATATAATATTATTGAACGTAAAACAAATGAAAGAAAAATAACTAATAAAAATTTTTTTACGCTTCTTAAATAATGAGATATATTAATTTTAACGTTGAAAATTTCACTCACGTAATAATTAACATATTAAAATTTCTCGTCAACTTGCTAAAAAGTAATGAGGCCCTAATATGTTTACTTTGGAATGTACCAGTATTTTAATTAAACGCCTAATATGGAATTGAAATGTTGTATAAATAATATCTGGGCAGAATGCATAAATAAAAACATCGACAATGCATACGAATCACCTACTTAATAACTAACTACCAGTTACGTTGTAGATTTGACCTCACGCTATAATATTAATAAATCACGAACGTTATCTATTACTCAGAAATTTTAAGCTAATTAAAATGATAGAATACTAAAAGTTTTGTCACAGATATTTCAAATCTCTAATGCACTTATTTAAAACGAGTTGCGGCTGTTCTAGTAGCAGCGGCCATTTTGCATTTTCTTCTAATACTGAGACAGAAAGACAGAGGGCGAATTTGTGTCTACGAGTATCTATAATCTACATCAGTCGGTTCTTCAAGCTATATGGCCAGCCGTATAGCTTGAAGAACGTATTTGTTCGACTATGTCAGTTACCTCATTTCTAATTCTATATCAGATCCATTAGTCATCACTGGCAACACGCACGCGGTTGTAAAGTAGCAAACATGAAAACCAAACCACAGAATAAATAATCCAAACCAAAAATCTCCAGTGGAGGTTCGGTTGCAACTTTCTATAGCGAACTCTACCCTTAATAATCCGGACCCTCCTAAATGCAGGTTACTAAGTAATCTAGCTAGGAGACTCAGGATTCTAACCATTTCAAATTAGTCCTCTTGATGTAGGTATTGCATATATTTGTAAAAAGTATGTAAACTATAAAAATGTCAATAAAGAATTATTATTATTATAACTAGTAAAGTTTTATCATTTATATTAATTACCTATTCGCAGTTTCACAACATTTCAGGTTTCTTCACGGATTAAAAAAAAATTAATGAAGTTACTTATTTTTGATATTCCATTGCATTCTGAGTTTTGAGAACAATAAACGCGCTTTATTAACGAAACCTCAACATAGTACACGCTAAATACACTACGGAAACAAATAGACAAATAAGTTAAGTTTACAAAATAAAATATAATTATCGCACCTACATTGTCTCAGCTCAGTAAAATATTGAAAGATTTTTATTTAAAATAAATTTATATTTTTATACTTCTATAAATAAGTGATCCTAAAAGAATATAATTCGTGTATTATACCACAAAATCCTTGACATCAAATTAAAAATAAAAAGAAGCCAAACAGAGTAAGCTATAATAGTATAATAGGTTACTATAATAGTTGCCTTTGATATCAATAATTTATAAGGTACTACACAAAGACAACATTCACACAAACACACGATCTATTTACTTTAATTCAACCACAGAATACTTTTTCATTAAACAAAACAATCTCATTAAGAAAACACCTTGTTTACAATTAAACTTAACAACTGCATTGTGCTTTATCATACTAGTTGCTAGTGCTATCTCATCCCAGCTATAAAATAAACGTATTCTATGTGACATATTGTTAACAGTTCACTATAACGCCGAACACAAACACCACTTGTGAAGTACGGTGTGTGTGCGTGGTGCGTGTGTAAAGCTTTCGCGTTTTTGTGGTTCCAGAGCAGTGGCGGCGGTTGCCAGTGCGGTAGGCGCGCGCGCGCACCCCGCCCGCCGCACGCCACTGCTTTGGATCTCTGGAACGCCTTCGTCTATCCGGTATGCTAGAGCGACGCCTGGGCGTGAACTCACACTCACATATACACATGAATCTAAATAGTAAAAGTTGTGGACGGCTGAAGAGATTTTGTCTTTTATTAAAATTTTAATTTTCTAATAACGATTATAAACATAAACAAAGAAGGAAAACTCTACATTCTCTCATATTGTTCAGTCGAAATACCACAAGCTTCTTTATACACAATTCCAGAAGCTTTGTGGCTACGGGGCTTTTTAGACTGCTAAATTGTTTGATTATTGTGCAATTACGAATATGATACGTTACAAAACAAAATCGATACTTAGCCGATCCACTTTACATTCTTATAGTCATAATTAAAACACCATCTAAATTGAGACTGCTTCTACCTACAGACTGCTATACAATTCTTTTCATCTCTCACATTTAGTTTGTTTATTTAAAGTATTTTTTTATAATAATTAACTCCTGCTTATTATTGTTTCATAGTCTCTACCAACACCTTAACAACGTTATCAACCAGACTAACAAATAGTTTATTTTAAAACGTAAGAGTGTTTCTTTAGCAATTATTAATATTCATATCCTCATATATAATTTATAAAAAAAATTAACAATTATAAAATTATTGCATTCGTAATATTAGATTTGCTTCATGTTATAATTATAATTTGTACAGGGAAATATGAAGCAACACATGCTGACGCACAAAATACGCGACATGCCTCCCGGCTTTGACAAAGGGGGTAATGGACCAATGGGACCTAACGAGGAATCTCGAGAGCCTAGTCCGGATAGACGTTCGTCCCCTGACAAGATGGACCTCAAGAGGTCTCCACCCGCTCACCCGCCTCCACCTATGACACACGCTCCGCCGATCGACATGCCACCGCTGCCGAAACGACCGACCGGTAAGACCAAAATTATCTTGATCCAGAATGGCACCTCACTTTATTTGAAAACCTGTTTAAAACCATACCATGAAAGTGTCTAATTAAATGAATTTTTGCAATTGCTTACAAGGACGGCATCATAAATCTAAAACTGTTTAATCTGTCATGTTAGCGCTCTCATCATATAATTACTCATATTTTTTCTCCTCTACCTTTAATATTTTTACTTTTTACCCTACTAACCGTTCTCGGGTTATGTTTTTTCAGTGTATCTATGTCTTATGTGATAGGAGGTCGAATAACAACCTGAACGTTAACGACTTGACAAGTTTTATATTAAGAGGTTTTATGCTAAATACCAATACGTTCGAAAAACTTGATATTTTGTTGAAATGCATTCTAACGATCGTGGTTTTTTTTTTTAGTAAATAATATATCATTGCAGTCGGATTTTTGTATTTACGAAGCATTTATTTGCTTTTATTTTATTACCTTTGCTTTAAATAACACTTAAATTCATAATTGCCAAGGACATGTTGAAACCACGCGTAAGGTGAAATATCATAGATATATTGTAGGCTATTTTGAACCCTGATATTTTGAAAATTAAGCGGAGTAACTAAAACTGGTTTTTATATCTTCATAATAATTATTTAAAAGACCTTTCTTACATCACATACATACCCCATGCAATATGGATAATCGAAAAAAATGCATTCCTTGAATACATACTATAGAGTAAGTGCAAGTACCTATAGCTACATTTACTTATCTTAAAATTTTAATTGATAGAGTAATTAGGTTAAGACTTTAAAGTTAAAGACAAACGTAGTACCTGATAGAAATTGTAAGGGTTCCTTACAGCTAAACGCTTAAAATAATGACTTTATTTACGGTATTGAAACAAGTCATTGTCCATAAATTTTACATACTATTATGGGCTTTTTACATGCCTTTGATATATTTCCATCGCTTTAAAAATTTGAAAAATAGAATAGAAAGATAACTTTAAATTATCAGTAATGAAAACGATTCATTATTTACAGTACCAAGTACGCCAACCCACCAACCACCGTCAGCGTCCTCGAAACACTTATGCGGAGTATGTCGCAAAAACTTCTCATCATCGTCCGCGCTCCAAATCCACATGCGCACTCACACGGGCGACAAACCCTTTCGCTGCGCTGTCTGCCAAAAAGCTTTCACCACAAAAGGGAATCTTAAGGTATTAAATTATCATACAATTACATGATTAATACAAGCATCACTAAATTTTTAACCGACTTAAAAACAGTGACACGGTATCTTCAATGTAATTTTTCTTTAAGAGTTAATTATCGATAGACTTCTAAAGCGGCTCTGTATATATTTCAATTAAATTCGATGATATTTGCTTTATATATTATGTTTTAAATAATCCAGTTATAAAAATGCATTTTTATTAATAATAATCAATAACTAAGAAGCTTTTACCTTATTTTAATAACAAAATTACTTTAGAAGGAATAAGCCGTCTTTTTATAGAATATTACCTATTCTTATAAGGGTGACAAGCGAGCACACATACCACCTCAGGGTAAATGAATGCTGCGGCCCATTGACATCAACATCTATCCTCGATTAAGAATCAAAATGCAGATGTATTTGTCACCCCTGAGGAATAAGATGGAATTTTAAAAATATATAACAAATGCATAATAAATACGCTTCCTTTCTGCCTTATAGTCTATCTGGGCAGGTTCAACCCTCTTACTTAAGCAGTAAGCAATATTCCCACTGTTGCGTTCGAATTTAAAGGATTTAGAAAGCTATTTTAATTACATACTGTGAAGCATTCTATCAAAGTTCTCAGAGATGAAAATGCTTCTTCTTCTTTGCGTGAAGTCCGTTAGAGACATCCGTACACTTTAGTAACCAATTACTATCAGGTGGACTTTTAGATCGTAAAACTTTTTCATTAGATAAAAACTACACGCCATTTCAAAATAATTATTCAGCAGGCTAATCCCAAATAAGCTAATTCCTTTTCACAACAGCGGCATTTTACAATTTTTTTTGAAGCTTTGAAAGTTGCACACGATACAGTCAAACTAGCGACGTAAGAGACTAATTACGTAATAACCCGGCAGGTGCACATGGGAACGCATATGTGGAGCGGTGGAGCGTCGAGACGCGGGCGTCGTATGTCGCTGGAGCTGCCGCCACGCCCCCTACACGAACCGCACGACCTGCTTCGACGGCCTGACCTCTTCTACCCGTACTTACACGCGCCCTTCCTTAACGGCATGCAGCAAAAGGTAGGAAACACAAACCGATAACTCTTAATCTTCTACCTTCCTTCTTTTACGTTATCAGCCCGTAACAGTACGTGGTTGGACATAATCTACACGCTTTACAGATGGATTGGTGATCGCAATAGCAGATGTCTTGTTCCTTTGAGACTATTCCCATCGCCGGTCTGGATAATTTACATTTGTTTATAGAATAAGGGTGACAACCGAACGTACAGTCCCACCTGCTAGTAAGTGGGTGCTGTGCTGTGGCCCATACACGATCTATATTTATCCTCAATTAAGAATCAAAATGCAGTTGTCACCCCTGAGGGCTAAGATGGAATGCCTTGTTTCCAGTAAACCGGTTTCTCCTATTCTCTACACACACCACCATACGAAACACGGCAGCATTACGACTATTTTACGTTGGTATTCTGTAAGAGTGATATCCAAATACTGAAATGCTACCCAATTTTTAGAGAGATAGCACGAAACTTAATGACATCTTAAAATTGAGTAGCATTTACGTATTTGGCTATGAGTCATATATTTTATACCGTATGGTCTATCGGAAGCTATTAAGATTTTCTGGGCATAAAGTAGTGGCCAATCCATTAACTTAAAATAAACATATGTCACCGCAATAATAACCGCATTATATATTCTAGAGTTTTGACTGTGACACACAGTAAGAAAGAGACAGAAATCTGTGTTCTTTGTACGTCACTTTATCTTAGCCAAGAAACTAAGCAAGTTTTAGATGATACGGCCTCTTTAAAAATTATAACTACCATGCCTAGCAGTGATATGTACATAAACTGATTCTACTTTTTATTTTTATTATAATAAATATACCTGTATTTATATAGAAAAAGTGAACTTTACCATAGGTAAAAGAATTAAAATTTAATCCATAAAATATTCATCGCTTTTATTGTTTACAGCTGAATGAGATATCAGTAATACAGCAGAGCGCCGGGCAGAATGGCGTCGCAGCCAAGTTCCCGGGACTGCTCGGTTTTGGTCCATTTGGCGCAGGTCGGCCTGGCGCAGCGTCACCGCTTGAACGACCGCCATCTTTGGAGGGTGGCGATGAGAGACAAGCGGCAATGCGAGAACTAGCAGAACGCGGCCGGGAACTCGCCGAGCGAAGTCGCCAAATGCGCGAGGAAAGCGAACACTACCGCTCACCACCAGCTCTCGCGCCCCATCAGCCGCCCTCCGCACAGCCCTCCCCACCTACCCCCCACCATCCACTCCCCCACTCGCTAGCCTCACTTCCACCCCCAGCCAGGACTGAAGGCCTAACCGTCTAACCATAATAGATTCGCAATTTTTTACACATTCCATTACAATCCAACGTCAAATCTATCTAATCGATATCGACAATATTGAAATCGAGTAGTGCGTGAATAAGGACACCATCCGCGAGTGCGTCGCCAAAGCACAGTGGACGTTTTCGTAATTATGTACAAAGATATACTTAGTAGTGAAATCAAGGACTGATAATGATACGACGAAACAAGTGTCAGTTAATAGCGTAAGAAGTGCTAAATGTAGCGCCATATAACGAGTTGTTATTCCACGTGTTATAACGCCTAGTATTAATGTAAGTAACTTATACGCACGAGTACGGGCCTGGGGCAATTGGGGGCTCGAGTGAGTCCCACGTTTATGTCATTACTCTGTGATATCGCACATACAATGGCTGCATTTAAGAGACCTAATACGTCAAGGAATAAGTATCAGTTATATTCATAGCGAATGCAGCTCTGTTGTGCTATAACAACATCAAAAGTAATTATAAATTATCCCAAAAATTAATTTCATAAATCTATCTAACTTTAAATGTATATATAATGTATGATAGTAGTGAAAGTTAATGAGCGAATAGATAAATTGCAGCATAAAAAATACTTAATTTTATATTTATACATTGCAACTGGAGTGCGCTATGCATGATTTCAATCTTATACCACATTCCACCGTAACAAATTAGCTCCAATCGTAAAAGATTATAAAAAGAAATGTATAAAATAACACATATAACTTTTATTTATTTTACAATTTCTATTTCAAAATGTAATCTTTTGGATTCGATGTTGAACAAAGTGATTTAATGTATGGGTATTGATTAAACTATTGTCACTAGATATTCAACTATTTTAATTATTGTAACAGAGGTTAATGACATATTCATATCATGTAAATTAAAAAAAGTATTTGCATTTGAGGTCTACATAGTTATAAGTATTTAGAGTCATAGCTATTATATGCTTTAGAATACTTCAACATATCTTTGTAAAAAAATAGGAGCGACTGGTTGTTGACAGACTTAAAACATTTATTTATAGAATACTTACTCTATTTGCCAGCACTGACAACAGACTGAACCATAAAATTGTTCCCGACGAATATTTATTTACAAATGTGCATTTTATCGATGCTTACGAATATTCATTATCGATGATATAATTGCTAAGTTTATACTCACTTTAGTTCATTCAGAATCAGAACTAATAAATAATGAATGTTTTATATTATTAAACTCTTAGGCATCAGTGTATAAATGTCCTTATAAATTATTTATTAAATCATAAATCATGCATACACTCTTAGTATTAAAGGAACGCTTGTGGGGCGATAGGCCGCACGCAACAATTTAGTTGTCTAGATTAAATTCTCATAGCACCTACAAGTTATTAATTTACAAGTTGCAAATAGACATAGCCTAGTATTAGTCATGAATATGATGTGTCGAGTCATGTCATTATAAATAATCATTGTAAATTATTAAATGTTTATGTAAATGTCCAAAAAGTATTCAAATTATTTAAAAAACAATTATACTAATAATTCTTTTCTTTTTTGTTATCCTTTACCTACATTTCCTTTTTATTTTAAACGTTTTCATCATTACAAAGACTACTATAATGTTATATACATGTGTATTCTTTAAGGGAATGAGTGTACTCCATCTGTGTGTATTCCATCTTTAGGGACAGTTCACTTAGCTACAATGCAGCCGATTCTGGATTCAAATCTCAGACTAAGGCAACACTTGTGTAAAAAATGAATGGTTTGCGAGGATATGGAGTGATTGTAAGGTGTCTCATTTTACACCTAGTCTACCGGGAATCTTATAACATAGTTCGGTTCGAACACGGTTAGGTTAGGTTAAGTAAGCAGAAAGTAACATCCTATCTTTATATTATAATTATAATTTCGCGCGATTATAATTTCCCACAGTATTCGAAAGTAAACCATGATCGAAATTGACGAAGAGAACATTATCATCACGCATAAATCAAATATTTTAATAGCTATAGTCATCTACAGAACACTTAATACTCTTAACAAATTATAAACCTGAATAATTTAACATCTTACATTTTGAAAGGATAATAAAACGACAATTTTAACTACGGGTATTTATTTATTTAAAAAAGGAGGTGGTTACAAAATACTAAAATTGTAGATCTATTAAGTAAATTACTCGTAGTAGTATTAATATGACTTTCAATTAAAACAGAATACGAAAACTAAGCCGAAATTTATGTTACTGTGAAACTAAAACACAACAAGTTAAATGAACAAAAGCTGAATTTAACAGGAAACTTCAATCACTTTGAAAACCGGAATACGAAACGTTTAAAAAATAAAAGTGATAGAAGAATCTAAACCATTAATTTTATATAATTACAAAAGAAAATTACGGAATTCTACTATCCAATGTTAATTTGAAATACGGACATTAAAAAAAATACAAGATTTCTGACAAACTTACTGCCTCCATATAGGACACTCGGCTTTGTTGTCACACAATATATAAAGAAAATACAATGTTCTTGAAACGATCAAAGCGAAGGTTTCGTTTCTGGCAGTTATTTTATTAAAGCTACGTGCGTTTAAAAATTAATAACACTAGCGAGTTTCTTGACTCTGTTGAGGAGCAAGTCTCCCTCGCGGATGGTCGCCTGGTAGAGATGCGACCGGTCGGCGTCGGCGCCGCGCCCCGCGCCCGTCACCACGCAGCCCGCCACCGCGTCGATGCGACACTGCAGTCGGCCCGCGGCTGTGAAGCTGCAATACATAAAACATGCACTGAACATTTATATAAACAAAAACTAGATACGGTACGCCCGAACATTAAATATATAGACATACATTGCAATTGAGGGAGGGCGGGAGGTGCTCTTCATACTAGGTAAGACACATCATTTTATTTTATAACGCGGATATTTGCGAAGTAAATTTTTCTAAAATCTTTTATATATAGACATACATAATATGGACATAACTATAGACTTAAGTATAGCATCATTTTTTAAATACGAAGTTTTTCCGACATGTAATGCCGTCTCGGTCTACTGACCACCCCAAGCTTTTTAGAAGCCAGTATAACCTTCCCTTACAAGTGACTGCTGAACTGTACGTCTCTCGATATATCAATATGACTAAGAGGTTGAGACAACAAGGGGAGTGCTCTGAAATTGAGGAGATATGACAAAAGGCTTATTTATAGCAATAAACGTGCAAACGTTTTCTTCTGGGGGTTAAACTGAACTAGATTTAGTCGCCCTACGTCAGACACTTTGCTTCTTATTCTTCTTAATAACTGGCTTTACGGCTCTGGGATCTAGCCCTTCTGAGCCTGAAGTTACAATATATTATAATAATTATCCTTCATAGTATACTGCTTCACAATATGATGATGCGTCGTCACATTGTGCAGCTCTTGGGAGATTTTGACGGCAACTTGAGCCAGCAGACAGCTGACGGTTGGCGATGGTATCTCAAGGCGCCTAAGCAGACAGATACCTTATTTTGAGAATCACATCACCATTAGAGCACTTGTTTCACAGTTTCCACTAATAGTTCACATGCGCAGACAATACACAAAATCGCACCACTTTTACATATCAATGTCCACTTCAAACCATTATTAAAATAATAATACAGGAGCAGCAAACCGCTGCTGGTCAAGTTTCCGCCAAAACTCGACACTTTGCTCAACAAAGACGCGACTTCAGAATCAAGTTTGTTCCAGCACTCGACGATGTACTCCCGAGAAATATTAGCACGACCGTCACCACGTCGTCTGCATAACCATAAATGTAAATAATTAGCAACTTATCATTGATATGCAGGCTTGTTAGGTGGTACGCAATCATAGTGTCTGCATATCATCATATAGCATTTTTAAGACAAGCGTGAATAAGTTTTTGTTAAGCTAAGACAATGCCTTTAACAATTTCAGCTAAATCACCGCTTACCGCTCTAGTCAATAGTTAAAAAAATCGTTAATACCTCTGGAAAACAACACACAGACGTAAAAATATGCCTTAATTTTCATTAGAACCCTGTCACCTTTTATAAAGAACAGTGATTTACTAGGAGTTTTATTCCTCGCACGACTTCTTTGTGGAATCGTTTACCGCTGGCCATTTTTTCGGACCAATGCAACATAGTGATCCTACAGTGGGGTCACTTCCTAAAATCCCTCCCCCAATGAACTTAGTGAAAGGACATGAAGAAATGTCTTAATATTTTTTCTCACCCGTTCGAATTAAAAATTCTTCACAGCCTGTTGGCTCTTATACAATTCAAACCTAATCAGATCACAGCAATAGGTGGAATGCTACTTGGCGGCAAAATTGAATAAGACAGTATCATATATAAGCAAGGATAGGATACATATTAAAATAAGCATTCAAATGAGCCGTAGTAGCACATGTTCTAGTTTAGTTTAGTTTAGTTTACGACGGGCTGTTTTCCGCAACTCCACGTCTATGCGCGTATTTTGCGTGTGGGCAGGAATAATGTGATTATTCGAGCCATGAGATCTCTCCGAAGAAGCTCAACAGGCCCTTGATGTTGCATGCAACTTCGGGGAGTGATCCCGGCGTGCCGAGATGTTTAGCCCTGTATGTAGCGACCTCCGGACATTTCAGTAGCACGTGGGCCGCCGTTTCTTCCTCCCCCATACATGCCCTGCACAGGGGACTATCTGTAACACCTATAGTAAATAAATGTTTGTCAAAGGTGCCGTGTCCTGTGATAGCACTTGTTACTATCCTAATCTGCGGCTTGTTCAGTCTCATTAAAACTTTTGTTAAGCGACTGTTAATTTCAGGCAGGGCATCCCTAGCTTGTCTACAGTCTACTAGATTTTTCCAAAGCTGAGCGTGTTGATTAGTGAAGTGTCTACGTACACATCTTCTATGTCAACACATGTTCTATGCGCTCGCCGTTAATTTTACAGTACACGAGCAACGAGGGTTTGATCGCCGTCGGCACCAATGGAACCATTAATTGCAATTTTAGGTGCTGATTTACTACAAGCTCGGCGCTGAAGGAAAATATCGTGAGCAAATCCCTTTTATCTGTGGAATTATAAATATTTCGAAGACATGTAAATTCCCCTAGCACGCCCTGGAGAAACTCAGTGGACTAATTGTTTCATATCCCTATCAAAATAGAGAGGAGGCCTGTGCCCAGCAGTGGTACATATATAGCCTGTAACTTTACTAGGGCTCATTTCCACGAGACTCATGCTAAACGCTCATTATGCTGTGTGGTGGCAACAAAAGAGAATTCATCACTCCATTACATTCCTCACATATTGTTAAAGACAACTATGAGAAATGCCAGAAAAACCTCATGACTTCCAAAAGGTAGCAATTTTGCAATATAGTATATGTGGTAGAGCCATGCTGCAACTATATTAGTAGTATAGTTGTATCACGAATGGGTCGGCTCGACCGATGAAGGACCACACTCTCACAGAATACCAGCGTAAAATAGCAGCTCAAAACTGCTGTGTTTCGTACGGTGAGAACCAGAGACCCTTTTTACTGAAAAAGAGGCATTGCAGCTTAGTCCTCACGGGTGACAACGCATCTGCATTTTGATTCGTAAACGAGGATAGATGTAGATGTCTATGGGCCACATCATCCACTAACCATCAGGTGGACTTTGTGCTCGTTTGTCACCCTATCCTATAAAAAAAATATATATAGTTTACCCTTTTTTTTGACAAACTAGCACAGAGTCCACGTGATGGTAAGTGGCTGCTGCAGCCTATAGATATCTACATCTATCCTTAATCAAAAACCATAAAACAGATGCGTTGTTACCCCTAAAGACTAAGATGGGGAGCCAGAAAACCGGAGAATTTTTTTTACTGGAAACGATCCAGTAAAAAGTGTCTCCATTTCTCTTTTACGCTGATATTCTGTGAGAGCATGGTCTTTCTTCGGTCGAGCCGACACATTTGTGCTGCAACCATAATTTAGCTGCAACATGACTCTATAAAACGCTTACACTTGTTATAAAATACACAGACCTCGCAGTTACATTTAGTAACTGCGACTGTCAATCTACCTGCGAGACGTGACAATAAAGGCAAAAATTCTGCCTACAATGGGGGATTTCCATGTCTCTGACTTTACGAAATAATAACGATGAAGAAAGAATCTCATATTTTCTTACGTTGATATTTCCTCTTCCACAAATTCTCGAGTAACGCCGAATGTGTCAGCAATATTATCAAGACTGAGGGAGCGGTAAGCGCGCAGCAGCTGAACGTAGGCTTTGATGCGTGCCTCTCGTACATAATGCTGGTAGTGAGGATGAAATACTGGATCCACACAGATTTGTGTCTCAACCTGTAATCGTAAAAATGATTTAAATTCAATAAATGAATAAATTTTATATTATATTTGTATTTATATGTAATTGGCGAACCGCCACGGCGTCGCACGGGTGGTTTTTGGATCTCGACAACGGCGCCACCTAACGTGCCAGCCGTTTAGGAGGAGTTCAGTGATAAGCACGCGTACATAAGAATTATTTAATTAAAGATATGTATTTTATGTCCCCTCGGACACCAATGAAATTGTTAATTGCTATTTGTAATTTTGATGCATGTCTGTAGAACAAAATGTTTGAAGGATATGTAAAGTCTGTCAACATACACTGAAGCAGGGCACTGGACTAATTGCTCTAACCTACTAGAAATGAGAGACCACTGACTGCAACATTTCATCATAGCATTCCATCTTAGTACTTGTGGGTGACACCGCATCATAACCTCTTGTTTGAAGCTTGTTATACATAACATACATAAAATACATAAACACACTCCTGTCACCCAGAGGGGTAGGCAGAGACTACGGACTACTCCATTTGGCGCGATCCTGACACACCTCTCTCGCCTCTTTTACATCCATATTGTTACAGATGCTATTGTACTTACAATCATTGGCTTTAAGCTTGTCTGTCAATCTTTATGAAAAATCCTTTCAGGGGTTGAAAATCTTTAGTTATTCATGCAGGGCACAGTAGTATCATGTTGGTATTAAATTCTATGTAATTGCTGCTTAGCTTCTTAATACGCAAATCTTACACATTTTTTAATTTGGTATTGCCACTTAAATAAAACTAATTTTACGGATTTTATTGCGTATATTAACTTATTTTATATTCCCGACGTTTCGAGCACTTTACAGCACCCATGGTCACAGCGGGACTGATGTGTATGACGTCCCAATGTCATAGTTAACCACGGCTACCTCTAGATTAAAAATTATTAATTTTTGTTCCGATCTACGCGGTACAAACTTACAGTATCTTGAAGTCTTGCAGTTGTATGCTTGGGTTGGGTTTTAATTTTATTAATTATGGGGTCCCAAGCAGATGGTAGCACCCAGCCATCTTCTATATTTAAATTAGGATGTTTTTTTAATTTCAATAGCCTCGCGAGTCATCCTTGGAAGGAATCGGTGGTATTGCCACGCATCAGCTTTTGCTGTTGCATAAGTGGGTCGGCTCAACCACGTCAACCACGGCGTTACAAAAAAACCAGCGTGAAGTATAAGTACTTATACTTCTGCGTTTCACCTGATGAACCACCCCTACCCCTCGACATGGCCCAAGCCATCACACTCTTTCTGAGCGTGGTTAAGCAGCCACACTTCCCCGTGTATTCTGAAGGGACACAGCTTCGTTATGTACACATACTAATTGAGGGAAACACAGCAAAATCCAACAATCTTTAAGAGTTTATGTTTAGTTAAGTTTGAGTTTATCTAAGCATCTATGGATCCCGTTATAGGTCCTACAGCGATAATGCCGAAACAGACCGACTCAGTGACCACAATCAAATGTCTACAAATTCCATGCTAGATCAGATTCAATCCGCAGAAATCGTTCAGCGATTTCAACGCCCACCACGCTGAACGGCTCAGTTCGCGTACAAAGATCTCTTTACGACTTTGCCTTGGCATATGGTCCGACACAACTGGTCACTTCGTCCACGCGGATTGGAATCCGGATATAAAGGATCATGCACCTTCCCTTTTCGACCTTCCGCTATTCTCTCATACGGATGGCTAATACGTCTCCGTCTATGCCCCTTATATGCTTGTTGGTGTGGTACCCATTATATTCTCATTGCAGGCGCGATCTGTAGGCTACCGCCGTGTCGGGAGTGAGAATAAACGTGGGGTTCCGCAAAGCTCGGTGCTGGATCCGCTCCTGTGGAACCTCGTCTATGATGCGATTCTGCGAATAGATCTTTTCGCTAGTGTAAATATAGTTTGCTATACCGACGAAATTTACGATTATGGTCTCCTTCGGGGTATACACAGACTGCTGCCCGATTTAGTGGGACCAGGAGAGTAAGTGCGTCGGCTGCATAGGCAGGAGTGATACGCCCCGTAACCTTTTAAGGAGCGCTTGTATAGGCAAAAATGCGGGTAATCCAACGCTTTAGAACTAAATCTAAAGTATGCAGAGGAGGATGGCCATACGGATCGTGCGAGGATGAGGATACCGCACAATATCCTTTGAGGCGACGACAGTCCTGGCTCGTTTTTCACCTTTGGACATACTGGCGGACATGGATGCGAGGGTGCACGGCATGGCCCTTCACGCGTAATCCCTGCTTAGTATCGCCGACACGACTGTTGGCAGGAAGAGGTTCCGAGCAATCCGGCTCAACAGGACCGTCCGCTCCCGTTCCTACGATGTACATATTACAAGCGAATAGGATACGGAGATTTGGTCCTGCCCACCGCAGTGGAAGCAATCCGCCGTCGCACGCGTCCGATTTTACATACATTATTATCTTAGCTCCAACTTCATAATGTGAATGTGTTATTTTATTCCTTTTAGTTCCTCAAAGTCGGTTTATAATTTTTATTAAAAGTTATTTTGTTTTGATCCTTTTTAGTGAAATAAGGAATCTCACAATGTTCATATTGTCGAAATCGTCACATTAAAAAGTTTATATATTTTGCCATCCTTAGGGATGGAATTTATTATCCTAATTTATATGAAGCCAACCCTGAAGTATAGTATAATATAGCGGCCCCGCTATTCCTGGCTACGGTGGCGACCATGGTAACGGCGGGGTAGGGGGTGCTAAGAATCTCCGATGGAGGTTCCGTTGCCACCTTAGACGTCTCGACCTGGCAACGTACAACGCACGCGAGAGAAAGACAAGTTACGCTGGCATATTATAGGATTATCCGAAATCCGAAGAGAGGGGGAGGACACGGTAATCCTCGAATCCGGCAACTTGCTCTATCACCGGGAGGGCGACCATCTGTCCCAAGGAGGTGTCGGATTTATCGTCCACAAGTCTCTCGTTAACAACGTTGTAAAGATCGGGAGTGTGTCGACGAGGGTTGCGTACCTTATACTCAGAATCACCAAACGGTATTCGCTGAAGGTCATACAGGTTTACACACCAACCTCGCCACACCCCGATGAGGAGGTGGAGGAAATGTATGAGGTATGCATTCCTCCAAAACCCAATATACGGTGTTAATGGGAGACTTCAATGCAAAACTAGGCACAAGAGAGAACGGTGAGCTGAAAGTAGGGAAATTTGGAATAGGGCAACGGAACCCAAGGGGCCAGCAACTGGCCGACTTCATGGAGAAAGAGGGACTCTTTATGATCAACTCTTTCTTCCAGAAGCGGCCCCACAGGAAGTGGACCTGGTCGAGCCCCGACGGTTCGACAAAAAATGAGATTGACTTCATTGTGACGACCAGACGACAACTGTTCAGTGATGTCTCCGTGATCGCGAGGGTGAAAACTGGTAGCGATCACCGAATGGTTAGAGGCACACTGAACCTAAACGTTAAGTTGGAGAGGTCTCCTCTAATGAAGTCAACGCTCCGTCCCCCTCGTGCTCTGTTCCAAAGTCCTGAAACATTTCAGCTCGAGTTACAAAACCGTTTTCAGTGCATAGAAGACTGCAATGAAGTGGACGATATGAATGACAAGCTCGTGGAAACTGTCCATGCGGTTGGAGCTAAGTTCTGCAAGACCCGCCGCAGAAGAACACAAAAACTCTCCGATCACACTCTTAATCTCATGGCTGTTAGACGGGAGATGAAGCTACATTCTTCAACAGATTTGACAGCATACAGGCAACAACCAAAATCAAAATTTTGGTAGAGCCAAGCGGCAGCTTTTGCTGTCGCACGGATGGGCCGGCTCGAACCGGGGTAGTACCACGACCTCACAGAAAACCAGCGTGACGTAGAGGTTTACCTCTGCGTTTCGCTTGGTGAGTACAGGTGGCCGGAGGCCCTTTTTACGGGAAATTAGGCATTTCATCTTAGTCCTCACGGGTGACAACGCATCTACATTTTGATTTGTAACAGAGGATAGATGTAGATGTCTATGGGCCGCAGCAACCACTTACCATCAGGTGGACTGTGTGCTCGTTTGTCACCCTTATCCTATAAAAAAACGGCGGGACTTAAGCAACTTCAATACAGCTTGTATTGAAGAAGCGATCGAGCGGAACCAAGGCTCCGAAGTCTTTGCCAGAGATCTGTCTGCCAGAAAGAGCCAACTGTCAAAGCTAAAGACCGAGTGTGAGATTACCTAAGATTTTGAGTGAGATTGAGAGGTTCTATGGACAGCTGTACACGTCATCGTTGGAGCCACACGCAAGTGTGAGTAACGATCCAAGAGCGAGTCTCATCCGACGCTATTCCGAAGATATCCCGGACATCAGTCTGAGCGAGATTAGAATGGCTCTCCAGCATCTTAAAAACGGCAAGGTCCCAGGCGAGGATGGAATAACAGCGGAGCTTCTGAAAGCGGGTGGAAAACCAGTACTGGGAGTCCTTCAGAGGCTCTTTAATTCCGTCCTCCATGGTGGCATTACACCGCTGGCGTGAAGCAGAAGTGCGGTGGTCTTGTTTTTCAAGAAAGGTGACAATGCTCTCTTGAAGAACTACAGACCGATTTCCCTTCTGAGCCGCGTCTACGTGCTGTTTTCGAGAGTCAATACGAATCGTCTCGCACGCAGACTTGACGACTTCCAGCCTCCCGAACAAGCCGGTTTCCGAAAGGGCTTTAGCACCATAGACCACATACATATCCTTCGGCAAGTTGTACAGAAGTCCGAGGAGTACAATTTGCCACTATGTCTGGCGTATGTGGACTATGAGAAAGCCTTTGATTCCGTCGAAATTTGGGCGGTGCTGCAGTCCCTTCAGCGGTGCCATGTTGACTGTCAGTATATCGAAGTGCTGAAGTGCTTGTACAGTAGGGTTATGATGGCTATCCGAGTACAGAACCAGAGTACGAAACCTATCCAATTGCAGAGAGGTGTAAGACAGGGTGACGTTATATCCTCGAAACTCTTCACCGCTGCATTGGAAGACGTTTTCAAGCTTCTGGACTGGAAAGGATACGGTATTAACATCAATGGCGAGTACATCACTCACCTTCGATTTGCCGACGATATAGTCCTTACGGCAAAATTACTGGAGGACCTAAGCACTATGCTCAATGACCTCAATAGTGTCTCCCAACGGATAGGTCTTAAGATGAACATGGACAAAACAAAGACTATGTTTAATGTCCATGTCACACCTATGTCGGTAGTTGTTGGGAGCACTAAGCTCGAAGTTGTTGACGAGTATGTTTACCTGGGACAAATAGTCCGACTAGGTAAGTCCAACTTCGACCGAGAGGTCAATCGACGGATTCAACTCGGCTGGGCAGCGTTCGGGAAGTTACGACACATCTTTTCGTCAGACATACCTCAAAACCTTAAAACGAAATTGTACAACCAGTGCGTGTTGCCAGTGATGACTTACGAATCTGAGACGTGGTCCTTCACTGCTGGCCGTATGAGGAAGCTCAAGGTCGCTAAGCGAGCTATGGAGAGGGCTATGCTCGGGGTTTCTCTGCGTGATAAACTTAGAAATGAGGATATCTGCAGTAGAACCAGAGTAACCGATATATTCCAACGGAGTAGTAAGCTGAAGTGGCAGTGGGTCGGCCATATAGCTCGAAGAACCGACAACCGATGGGGAAGAAAGGTTCTTGAGTGGCAGCTTCATACTGGTAGGCGAAGTGTAAGGCGACCCCCCACGAGATGGAGTGATGACCTGGTAAGACATGCAGGAAGTCGATGGATGCAGGTGGGTCAGAACCGTGCTTTGTGGCATTCCTTGGGGAAGGCCTATGTTCAGCGGTGGACTTATGAAAGGCTGTAATGATGATGATGATGATGAACCGTGAAGTATATATACATACCTATTTAATAAAAGAAGAATGATTAAATTGGTTTGCAATTGCCAAAATATTGCGTATTATTAAAAGTATAATCTTAATATCACAGCTTGTAGAACATTTCAACTACACTTATATTTACTAAGAGCTTAGATATATGAAATTGCTTTTAAAAAGTTACCCAGGCAAGACTTTTTAAAAAGTCGGCATATCTGCATTCATGCAGAGATTCAACAAGTTCTCTCAGTTCGGGAAACCTTGATCGTAGAGCTTGAACAGCTGCTCCTTGCCTTCTTAGAGCTGCCTGAAGAGCATGTCTTTCTAGTGCCAGAGCGCATGCCAAGACACAATACTGAATAATAGTACCTAAAAATAAAAATAAAATATTTTGATTAAAGTTTCTGTACCTAACAACACAAGTATGGCTATAAATTCTGTTACATATATGTATGTACATATGTACAGTAGAATCCGGATAAAGAGACCATCAAGGGACCGGCAACATGAGATACTAACTGGATGACTCACTAAACAGACAGATTTATTTTTGTTTATGTTTGTTTGTTTATTATGTTTAATAAATATATGATATGATTTTGATAACATAATTAATGTATGTAATGAAAAATAGTCAATAAAACAAAAAGGGCTTAAATGAAATACATAATTTTTATTTTTAACGGTTTATTCTTAGTTATGTATTATGTTTAGCTATAAGAAACAATTTAGATCTTGCAATAGAAAATGTAGGTAGACAACACACTTCAAATTATGTATTTTTCTAGAAGAAACATGTAACTTCAGTTTGCTTTTGATTGATTTTTCTGCCGACTTGCAAAAAGGAGATGGTACTCAATTCAACTGCATGTTTTTTTTATGTGTGTCACCTCATAACGTTTTACTGGGTGAACCAATTTCGATGATTCTTTTTTTATTTGAAAGCTGGTACTTCTCGTGTGGTCCAATATGAATTTGATCAAGGTCAGACCAATAGTTTTTGAGTTATTCTTAATAACTTATATTGAAGTCAGCTGTACAAAATTTTTAATTTTAGATTATTTTTGATAGTAAAAACTAGATACAGTATTGTGAAGACAAAACATAATACTTTTAGTGCAGTTTTATAGAGTGCCATCATCGAAATTAATATGTACACATTATATATATATATATATATATATATATATATATATATATATATATATATATATATATATATATATATATATATATAAAATTTGCTCATGCTGCAGCTATATTAATTGTATAATTGTAGCACGAATGGGTCGGCTCGACCAGAGAAGTACCATGCTCTCGCAGAATCCCAGTGTAAAATAGCAGCTTAATGCTGCTGTGTTTTGTATGGTGAGTGTAGAAAACCAGAGATCCTTTTTACTCGAAAAGAGGCATTCCATCTTAGTCCTCACTGCTGACAACAAATCTATATTTTGATTTAGGAACAAGGATAGATGTAGATGTCTATGGGCCACAGCAACCACCTACCATCAGGTGGACTGTGCTCGCTTGTCACCCTTATCCTATAAAAAAAAGACACTGCACCCCCACCTCCTGGCTTGTTTTCCTCTATCCCTTACAACATCTATGTGACGATAGTAGTAGATATTCTTATACAGGTACACAGAAAATAATAAAATTTGTGTGTCCATAATACTGTATAATGATTTGTGAAATAAAAAATGTGTAGGCAACAACAAATTAGAATTGATTAAATTTGGAAAACTTAAACATCCTAAATCGTCATAAGCCCCTAAAAGTCCACTACTAAACTAGATCATTTCCATTGTGGGGACGATTTGGCATAATCTTCACACTTAGTAGGCAGTGGCAATAGCAATATCACAAATCCCACACCTTTAATGCTCTTTCCTGTCTCCAGTCTTGATATTTTTTGCCTGGTATTATCAAAATAATGTAGTTATGATAATTAAGAAAGTGTAGTCATAATAATGTAACATGTGTAGTCTATCACTATTACAACCCTACAGGACAAAATGGGGTGATAAACTGTCATATTTCAAAACATCTTAAACAAACAAGTTTGCTTAAGCTGCTGTGACATGTCATAAATACACCTTAATCTGTGGAGTTCCAGTCCATCACATCGAATTTGCACATGCCACATTTATAGACCACTCAGAACAATTCTTTTTAAATGTTACTTATAAGAATTATGTAACACAATTCTAAAAATTTTATGAGAATTAGTCTCGTTAATAATTTACACTTCTATAAATTAAGAGAATTTACTGCAAATGACAACTATTATGTGTCATGTTTACTTCAGTCCAGGCCCAGAGAACTATGTCGGCTTCACAGATCAATGTAGTACACAACAAAATATGTAGATCATACTGTTAATGAATTATTTCATTTGAGAAATTTGTTTTCGGTAGAATATTAAATTTATGAAATGGCAACACCTAAAAAAATTAAAAAATGTTGGGCACAAATGTTTTCGTTTAAATTTAAATGAAGATAACTGTTGTTGTTGCTTTAATCAAGCTTATTTGCAGATCAAATGTAATAGATAATTTTTAAAGCTTTTGTATTTTTCTTCCTTATGCCAGTTTGTACAACTTCCAGTTTGTAAATAATCTTTACAACGAATTTTTCAAAAACTCAGAGATTTCACATAAAATCAGAAGGAAATCCAGAATAACAGTAAAAAAATCAATAGGTGAATACTCCCATTTTAGAGGTTTTCAAATTGGCAATTTTAAGGAAGAATTCTGGTAAAACAAATGTCACAAATGAAATAATTCTGTAACAGCACCATCTACACAGTTTCTCAAGTACTACATCTACCTGCTAAGCTGACGTAGTTATTATTTATTCATCCATTACATCCTATAAAAGTCCACTGCTGAACATAGTCTTTCCCTATAAATAGCCTCATGCGGGAGTAATGGTAGTTTCCACTGTTCGTAGACAACCGCAGTTTTTTAAAGTTTTGAGTTGTTATCAAAAAGACGCTGCTGCCCATCTCTTGTTTCAGTTTCCCTTTATTGCCTGTTAAGGCACCCACAATATGATATAAGATAGTCAATATTGTAACACCCCCACTACTCAGTTAATTATTAGTACTTATACTAAATGTAAAAAGGTAAAGTAAAATTCACTTCAAAGCTTACCAAAATCAACCAACTCGTAAGATTCAAATGTAGAAACACAGTCAATAAACAAATCAGCGGCTTGACTGTAATCTCTTACTGCAAGGCAATATATTGCCTCATATGCCTTAAGTTTGTTCCTGGAACGCCAGTCTCCACCTTTGTCAACCAATTCATGTGCCTAGAATGCATATTAATTTTGATATTAAAAAAACAAAAGGTGCAAATTTAGTAATAAACTAGGAATTTAATTATTGTCATACCTTATTTATTGCTTTTCCCATGTCTTTCACATTACAACCATGAAAGTAAGCAATTCTAAACAAAGCAAAAATGGCATCCAATCTCCGATTAGTAGTTAAGGTTGAATCTTCATACTTTGTTGTTGCGAGTGTTGTTGCAGCTTCTTTGTCGCCAATAGAGCACAAATAATCCAATCTGTAGAATTAAAAGGTAATTTAAACAGTAATACTTATAATTAGTTTAAAATTTAAAACAAAATTTATAATTCGTAATTTCGTACTGATCCTGCCAAACAGGCGTTTCAGAATCGTCTTCTTCAAATTTAGCTAGCCTGTTTTGATTCTCTTTTGCCATTTCATCAAACAAATTTTGATCAAAATTCCATCCTAAATCTGTACAGACTTCTTTATAAAAGGGTGCCATATTTCCAGCTTTAATTCCTTGAAACAACTGTTCTTTTAATTGAGGATTGTCTTTAAACTGAGGTAAAGAAAGTTTAAATTTGATGCCTGCAAGAGCCATGTAATCAGGAGTTTTGCCTTCTGCAGACAGCTCCATTTTTTTTTCTTATAATTTAACAAAATTCAATATAAACCAATACTATAAAACTTTGTAATGTACTAAAATTGAATTATTAGTACTCCTTTTGGTAATTTAAAATGTAATATTCACTAATCAAGAGTTTTGTTGTCAGCAGAAAGCAGAAGCATAAAACGTCAAAATTATACATTGTCATCAACAGAGTCTATGCTATGCACAGATTCCGGTAAACGTAGTGGTTATTTTCTCTTTGGATTCCGGTGTAACCTCTATGTTGTCACGTAGAATGAAGGATTCATTGATACTTTAGAGTAGGTACCTATTAACATATTGATACCGATTGCTGGCTCTGGCACATAAGCCTGCAGGGAAGGCATTTTTTTATGGGTAGGGTGACAAACGAGCAAACAGTCCACCTTGATGGTAAGTGGTTGCTGTGACCCATAGACATCTACATCCTCAATAAAGAATCAAAATGCAGATGCGTTGGCACCTGTGAGGACTAAGATGGAATGCCTCTTTTCCAGTAAAAAGGGTCTCCAGTTCTTTACACTCACCATACGAAACAGTAATGTTAAGCTACTATTTTACGCTGGTATTCTGTAAGAACATGGTCCTTCCCCGGTCGAGCCGACCCATTCGTGCTACATCTATACCACTAATATAGCTGCAGCATGGCTCTACCACGTAAAAACAGGCATGCAAATGAGTGGCACTACAGTAACAATATCGTCAAGTTCAGCTTCCGGTTTATGCGGGGAAGCGAGCAAGGACTTGCGCCGGGAGTGCATGCAGCAATCGGACGAGCCCTACCGGCACAGTAACAAAATAAATAGATTGGGATAAAATAAAATAAATTGGTAAATGCAATTGGGCATGCCTTAAGCGCATTAAAAAAATTACGTATAATATGATTATACGGAATTTTTTAAAGTAGGTTAAATACATTTCGACAGCACTATCGGCTTCAACATCCTCGAAAACCATGAAAATGACACCCATGATGAAAAAATTGGTACCTACTTCAGCCGCCATCTTGGATTTACATTTCGACAGCACTATTGGCTTCAACACCCTCGAAACCCATGAAAATGACACCCATGATGAAAAAATTGATACCTATTGCAGCCACCACCTTGGATTTACATTTCGACAGCACTATCGGCTTCAACAACTGTGAAAACCATGAAAATGACACCCATGATGAAAAAATTGATACCTATTGCGGCCGCCATCTTGGATTTACATTTCGACAACCCTATCGGTTTCAACACCCTCGGAAACCATGAAAATGTCACCCATGATGAAAAATTGATACCTATTGCGGCCTTGATACCTTGGATTTACATTTCGACAGCACTATCGGCTTCAACACCCGTGAAAACCATTAAAATGACACCTATGTTAAAAAAATAGATACCTATTGCGGCCGCCATCTTGGATTTACATTTCAACAACCCTATCGGTTTCAACACCCTCGGAAACCATGAAAATGTCACCCATGACAAAAAAATTGATACTACTTACTTTTATTACGTACTACTATTATTTATTCTGTGCTTTTAAAATATTGTAATAAAAAAAAATCTCTCATTATTATTATAATCAAGTATTTAAGAAATTTGGTTATTCGAATATTGTGTATATTGTACAGCGATCTTTTTGAGCCGCTGCAAGCAACCCAAACAAAGTCCACTCACGACTGTGTAGCTGTAGCTCAGAGTGCGGCCTCCGCCTATTTACAGAAATAATTTACATACAAGGCTACCAAATCAACGAAAATTTCGCAATTTTGGAGCCGAAAAAAATTAATTATAGCTAAACAAAACAAAATTACACTGCCATTTACATTTAGTGGCTTCCCACATGATAGATGAAAAGATTAAAAAATAGATTGAGTTAAACAATTGATATTTTCAAAAGTTATCGTAATTACAAGCCTTGGGGCCTTGATAAATCCACACCATAAGCCACTAAAACCCCTTTTTATTTAAAAATAGCAATTAATCAATTAAAAAAATATATTAATAAGTTCAACAATCATTTATCTTTCTAACAATGTGCTTTTTATATCATTTATATGTATAATATGATTGCTAGATACGATTTCATTCAATAAAAGATTGGAATCTTAATTTTTAGGCGATAGTAGAAAATACCTTGATTCGCTTAAGTCATGCAATAATTGAAGACGTCTCATAGGCATCAATTTTTAGTAATATAACACAGTTAAAACGTTTCCTTAAATTTAGATTAATAAATTTATCTAAAATACAAGCGTTCTCTTACATCATCCAAATGCCTTAATGAAAAAGGTAGAAACAGAAACAGAAACTTTTTTATTCAATATAGATTATAAATAATACTTATTGAAAGTCACTCTTTTGTTTAATTACCACTGGTTCGAAAAAAAACCCTCTGTCCTGGTCCTGGAAAGAACCAGCAAGAAACCCATATGTATATTTTCTAGAATTTTGTTGTAAAAGCGTATACATCGCCCCAAGAATGAATTGCTGACTCGATGGAGTCGAGTAACTGGTACTACTAGCTTGTAGCTAGAATTGAGCCTTGAGGCACGCCCATTTGTACCATCGACCCGGAAGAGCTCATACTGTTAATGACAACTTTTTGCGTTCACTTACTTAAATATTAAATAATTAATTTAAGAGCATCACTTCTTACACCGTAGTGTTGAAGTTTCCTGATTAATCTTTCATGGTGAACACAATCGAAGGCCTTGGATAGGTCACAAAATATACCCAAAGAATCCTGTGAATTCTCCCATGCATTAAAGATATATTTAATCAGCTTTTAACAGTGGTAGAGCCACGCGGCAGCTTTTGCTGTCGCACGGATGGGCCGGCTCGAACCGGGGTGGTACCACGACCTCACAGAAAACCAGCGTGAAGCAGAGGTTTACCTCTGCGTTTCGCTTGGTGAGTGCAGGTGGTCGGAGGCCCTTTTTATTGGAAATGAGGCATTCCATCTTAGTCCTCACGGGTGACAACGCATCTACATTTTGATTTATAATAGAGGATAGATGTAGATGTCTATGGGCCGCAGCAACCACTTATCATCAGGTGGACTGTGTGCTCGTTTGTCACCCTTATGCTATAAAGAAAAACGCTTAACACCGGCATCAGTCGAGCGACCCCTTGTAAAACCAAATTGATTTTTATGAAGTAAATTATTTATATTAAAGAAATTTAACATTTGATCAAGAATAATTTTTTCAAAAATCTTACTAAGTGTTGGTAGTACAGAATTAGGTCTAAAATTGGCGGGGTCTAATGTACTACCAGATGTAAATAAAGGTATTACTTTACTATTCTTCATTAAATCAGGAAACACACCAGATTCGATACTAGTATTAAAAATAATAGCTAAATGAGGCGCGATTGTATCTATTATAGACGCAATAACTTTAACGGAAATGTCCCACAGATTCGCAGTTTTCTTAACATCAATAGTTTTAAAATATTTTACAATATCTTTTGATGATGCTTTATGAAATGTAAAATTCTTTGTACACGCATTTACATTTTGTTTAAGTAATGATTCGGCGAAGGAAATAGGACTTTCATTGTCAGCAAGTCTGTACATAGGGTGCTAGCTTCATCCTTAAGGCAAACTAGACACGTGCCCAGGGGTGTGAGATTCAAAGAAGCGGGTGTGAAAGTTTTTAAAAGAATAATGTGCATATCGACGACAGTCAGAAAGAGTGAAGTGGTGAGCGAAGTTTTTCTTGCCTAAAGAGAGTGAATAATTATCTCCATTTAACCATGAGATATAAAAGACTGAAATCGTTAGCGATAATTAAAATTAAATTAAACTTATGGCCATATATTTATATATGTTGCTATTATGACGATATTATTGAAAATTTTGCAAAACAGAAATGTATGACGAATATTTATTACATATTACACAAAATTACAACATGCGTTTCGAAGCACATGTCACAGAATGTGTACGAAACTGTTTTTATACATTAAAAATCTTATATAAAAACTGAGCATCCTTAACCGAGCAAATGAGGATAAGACTATGGGAGTCTTTGATTTTGTCCAAATTAAATTACTGCGCCGTGATATTTGGACCTTGTCTGTTAAGTAGGACCAGAGGCTCATACAGCGTGCGCAGAATGCATGTGCAAGGTTCTGCTTCCACATACCACCTCGTACGCATATTACTCCTTTTATAAATAATACAGGCCCATTAAAAATGTCATCGCGTCAAAAATTACACCTTGCCACAGCGGTGACACTCTCTGTACACGAGAATACATACATACATATTAATATATATGTATACTAGCTCGCCAGGCAGACGTTGTTCTGCCCTTTCCAACAATTCTTCCTATAAAAATCCTTAAATTCGTAATAAAAAATTTTGAGGGTCATTTATCCATCTCTCAAGTTGGACCAAAATGCTACACAGTATGCAAAATTTCATTGAAATTAGTTCAGTAGTTTAGGAGTCCATCGCGGACAAACAACGTGACACGTAATTTTTATATATTAAGATATATTTATATATATTTTTATAAACATAAACATACAAAAGTACAAATACATACTTTAAAACTATTATATATAACATAAATGTACCATACATATAAACAAATATTGTAACTAATAATAATAATTGAACAAAGTCTCGGATTGGGGGCAACTACATTTAGTGCAGTTTAATCCTCAGAAGACACAAGTTTGCGCGTTTACCGCTAAAAAAGAACCCCTTTGTCGTATCTCCTCACTTTCAAAGCACTCGCCTTCTTGCCTCAGCCAGTATCGGAATCCTCGGAGTCGACATATCGAGTGACGTGCAGTTTCGTGGTCATTTGGAAGAAAAGGCGAAATTGGCCTCTAAAAAGCTTGGCGTGCTCAGCAGAGCGGGACAGTATTTCATGCCGGCACACCGCCTGCAACTTTACAAGGCGCAGGTTCGGCCTCACATGGAATACTGTTCCCATCTCTGGGCAGGGGCTCCCCAGTGCCAGCTCCTTCCACTTGACCGCATCCAGCGCAGAGCGGCTCGAATCGTCGACGACCGAGTCCTTTCCGATCGGCTCGATTCATTGGCACTGCGAAGAGATGTTGCATCCCTTTGCATTTTCTTTCGCATCTACCACGGGGAGTGCTCTGAGGAATTGTTCGGATTAATCCCAGCCGCCAAATTTCACGAACGCACATCGCGGCAGAACTCCTGATACCATCCACACCATCTGGATGATTGGCGATCCACCACTGTGCGATTTAGAAGATGTTTTCTTCCTCGCACAACTTCCTTGTGGAATCGTTTACCATCAGCGATTTTTCCGGACCGATACGACTTAGGGACCTTCAAGAAAAGAGCGTACTCTTTTTTAAAAGGCCGGCAACGCATCTGCGATTCCCCTGGTGTTGCAGCTGTTCATGGGCTTCGGCAGTCACTTACCATCAGGTGAGCCGCATGCTCGTTTGCCCCCTCTGCTATAAAAAAAATTATAAGTTTTTCAGGTGTCTCAACAACATTGGACAATTCATTTGTCAGTACGATTTGGCTGTAATTTTCATCTATTGGATAGGTGCCTTCTCCTATTCGTAGTAGATTTTCGGAAAATTCTTGCGCTTTTTATTGTTTTGATGATTTGACTGTTTGTACATGTTGCCATATTGGTGATTTCTTCAAACAGGCATTAATTTCATTGCGTTTGACGAAAATCACCTGACAATATTAAAACCGCACCAAAAATTAAGCTTGTATTATCTCGTAATTCTTGGAGTGTTCTATTTAGTGCTTTTAAAAACTTTCGGTGAGCCATTATGCTTTCGTCTCATAAGATGGCTTTGCACTGTTTCAATATTTGTCCGCGTGCTGATGATTTAGTAATGTCACATACCGAAAATATTGTTGACTTCATTAGACATGACCTCTCCAACTTAACATTAAGGTTCAATGTTCCTCTTACCATACTGCGATCACTACTAGTTTAATTCTCGCGATCACTGAGATATTATTGAAGAGCTGGTTGTCATAATGAAGTCAATCCCGTTTTTTTCGAGCCGTTGAGGCTCGACCATGTCCACTTTCTTTGAGGCCACTTCTGGAAGAAAGAGTTCATCATAAAGAGTTCCTCTTTCTAAATAAAGTCGGCCGAATTTCCCTGCTTTCAGCTCATAGTTCTCTCTTGTGCCTAGTTTTGCGTTGAAGTCTCCCGTTAACACTGTATAGTGGGTTTTAGAGGAATGCATGGCTCTACAGATATCCTCATACATTTCCTCCATCTCCTCATCGCGATGTGCAGAGGTTGGTGCGTAAACTTGTATGACCTTCAGCGAATACCGTCTGGTGATTCTGAGTATAATCACCAAATTCACTTGGGCACCTTTACAGTTTCCCTGTCCACGAAATAGACGCAATAGTTAAACAATTGAAATGTTCATATATGATTCATGTGATAGGGAAAGGGTTAAGATACTATTGTCATTGAATATCTGCTGTCTTCCAAATCTCCTAATCCCTTCGCTATAAACGCATGAATATTAATTGTGAAAAAGTTTGGGAACAAAATACATGTTACTCTAAGCTGTATGAGTATATATCCTTTTGCCTATAAATAATTCAAAGAAATGTTAGGCGCGGCGATGCGGTGGGGTTGTCAAAATGTCAAATTGACATTTTCATTATTCATAAGGTGACTAAATATTGCTAAATTATTAAATTGTTAAATTTGTCTAATGTTAAAAAATGTTTTGGGTAAATGCATTCATATGTCGTTAAACGCTATCGAATTTAATAATTTGTCATTATTCATAAAACTGTAACTTTGGCGGACTATGTTATTGTTTTAAAAATTATCATGTTGATGTAACGCTTGTAAAGTTATTATAATCATCTGGATCACCGGTTATGTGAAAATTAGTTTAGAAATCTAATGATGAATATCAATCAACTTGTCACTTGCAATCAGTCAATTAAAATAGTACCTTCTTTAGAAGAATCGTTACAATGTATGGGACTAAATGTACAACTTGATGAAAATACCTCTACATGGTTTGATCAATTAAATGTCACTTGGAAAACATGGAAAAAAAGTCCTACTGTTGAACACCATGTCAAACTGTTTTTTCAAACAAGCCCTGATCCATATAGAATAGCTCTTGTTTTTGTAATAAAATGTAAGGACTTTAAAGACTGCAAACCAAAAACACTTCCATTTTTCATTATGGAAACCCTGCAGAAGTGGTCATGTGATTGTGGTGCTGTTCCTGAGAATTTCTTAAAACTACCTGCATTTCGGGTTGCTACAGAGCAAAGGAGTCAACACTTCCTTAGCTTGGTTATTAAAATATACCAAATAAATACAATAAAGGAAACTATTGTACCTATTGTCAAAGATATGATAAAAAATGATAATTGTAAACTGGCTTCTCAAGTAATTATTGCAATGGAATTATTTGAAGATATTTCTGTTGAAGATTTAATGTTTCCACTGATACTTCAAGATAAACCAAATATGATTGATGAATATTTATCCGAATGTCCCAGTCAAGTTGGCCCACTATTACTTTTTTTAGACAAACTTCTAGATAAAAACTTTAGCATTCGTGAATATGCTCAAAATTACATAGATGAGAATAAAATAAGCCATGTTAAATATGAAAAAATACATCATAAGCCTCTTGGGAAGCTAGTGGCACGACTGTGTAATAAATTTAACATTCCAATTGAAACATGTAAAAATCTTAGCAAAAACCGTACTGTAGGGGGATTGAAGTACCTTATATATCAAAAATATGTTGATCACAATGTAAGCTCTGCAGTATGGGATGATTTGGTGAAAGATGCATTAAAACAAAATGCTGAATCAGCTAAGGAATTTATTGATATGTTACTTGACTATGATAGAAAAGAAGCTCTGAAGTGGGTTGAATATCTTAATCTACCAGAAACTTCATTACCAGTGTCATTTAAAGAAATGTCTCTACAAGAAGTTGTCTCTGAAGACAGTGAAAACTGGGATGTAGAAGAAAAACTACCTGAGAAGTATTATAATCTGACTCTACCTGCTGAAAACATTGTTATTATTGATACTGCAGAAAAATTTTATGATTTAATGACTACACATTTAGCAGGCTGTAATGTAGTTAGCATTGACTGTGAATGGAAGCCTTCTTTTGGTGCTACACAATCACAAGTTGCCTTGATTCAGATTGCAACAGATAGCTATGTGTATTTAATTGATACTTTAATATTTAATAAGAAGCAATATTCCAGTTTTTGGTATTCATTTAATAAATCTCTATTAGATAATGCTGAAATTATTAAATTAGGATTTGGCTTGGAACAAGATCTGAAAGAAATCAAAGCATCCATAGTAGGTTTAAATAATATAAAAGTAAAAGGTGAAGGGCTTCTTGATATATCAATACTATGGAAAAATCTTATCAATTGTGGATTATCTTTACAAAGCAATAGCAATAATGGTGGCAACAGTCTTAGTTCTCTCGTCCAAACATGCTTTGGACTACCACTGGAAAAATCAGAACAATGTTCTAATTGGGAACTTAGACCATTGCGTACAACACAAATACAGTATGCTGCTCTAGATGCTCATGTTCTTTTAGAACTTTATAATTATCTTCGTAATCAGTGTATAGAGCAGGGAATAAATTTTGATGAAATAAGCAATGATATAATGCTTGATACAAAAACAAAATGCATTAAAAAGTCAAAAGTAGTAGAAAGGTTTCAAACTTCTACCTTAAACTTAGAAAAGAGAAGAGTTTATGATGTGAAATTTTTTGTAGAATCTAAATTAACAAACTTAATACCATACTTGAGACATTGCGGATTTGATACAATTTCCATTCCTACAACAATGTTATGGCATGATGTTATTAATTCGGCTATATCAGAGGATCGCTATATTTTATTATCAAAGTTAAAGTACACTCCATCTAAAAATTACCCACAAAGTTCTATACTAGAATTAGGTAAAGGTAAAAACATTCAGGAGCAGTTACTAAAAATTATAACTTATTTTAATATAAAGATAAGTAAAAATGACTTTTTACCTCGGTGCATAAAATGTAATAAAGTCGATTTTAAAAAGTTGACACCACAAGATGTTGTTGAGCTATGTGGTAGATTTCAAAGTTTTGGTAATTCAAATAGTAATACAAACAGATATTTTAGTAATGATGATGATGAAGAGGCAAATTATGATAATTTCCTAAGTGATTCTGAAGATATTGATGAAGATATTTTATATGGACCAGTTTTAAATCCACATCCAAATAATGTGTGTGTTACGACTAAAGGAGTACCAATAGAAATACTAAATATTCATGAGCTCATTAATTCACCACAAGTGGCAATTCTTTGTGAGTCATGTGGAAAATTGTTTTGGGATGGTGATGATTTGTTTAAATCAGTAAATAATGTAATGCTATCTCTTTTTAGTTTGTAGTGTAAGGTTTTAATATAATATATTGTATGTAAGGTACAAAGACTCCAGTGGCAATAATATATTTTAACTTTACAATTTTTTTTATCAATATACAGGGTTATTTTGCAATATACGCCCAAATTTGCAGAGAAAGTTCAGACTAAGTAATATAGGCGAATGGTGAAGACCAATTAATTAAAAAAAATCACAAACATCCTGTCCTTTACATCATTTGGAATGTGTGGTAATGCATTATTTGAACTGATAGTCATTCATAAATATCTAACGACTTCTATTTTACTACGCACGCACACATTAGTAGATAAGGGTCACTCGTTCAACAAAAACTTCGTGAATTGAATCACACAGAGGAGCAACAACTACGCATACACATAGTTGTTGCTCATAAGTCATATTGAATTTGGGATAATTTCAAATAAAAGTGTAAGTCTTATTTACTCGTTAATTTGGATACTCTTTGAAAAATAACCCTGTATATATATTGGATTACATTAGTGCTAATAGTGAGTCACTTAGAAATAAAATATATTTTGTTAACCTACTCTTAAGAAAAATTAAATACCTTTTACAGTAGGAGTAACAACAAAACAATTAAAGCTTAATATAATTTTTGATTTAATGAGCATTTGTGTTGATTTCCCTAATTATTTTACTAATTCACAATTGAAAAGGCTTAGTGTAAATTAATTATCATTAGCTTAGACCATTCAATTATATGCATATATGCATTAATTGGAAAGTGAAATACCAATCTGATTGACTTACTCGTTCATCACGAGATCTCCAAAACAATATATGCCTGATTGAATTAAATTTTGGCATATATATTCTTTCTTGACATAGACACAAAATGTAGCTTATTTATGACATTTACGCTTTAATTTTCATGCTGTGCATAACACTGTTGTTAAGTATTACATTATTGTATACCCCATCAATATGAACTTGATGTAATATGCTTAAACTATTTGGTGGACTGCATATTTAAGTGACCACCACAATTTTCCTTTGAACTTAATATCAACTTGTTGTAATATGCTTAAGCTATTTGGTGGACTGCATACCTAAGTGACCACCATAATTTTCTTTTGAATTTAAATCAATATCAACTTGATGTAATATGCTTAAGCTATTTGGTGGACTTCATACCAAAGAAAATTATGGTGGTCACTTAAGTATGAAGTTCACCAAATAGCTTAAGCATATTACAGCAAGTTGATATTGATTTAAATTAAAAAAAATTATGGTGGTAATCAAAATCAACTTGATGTAATATGCTTAAGCTATTTGGTGGACTGCATACCTAAGTGACCACCATAATTTTCTTTAGAATTTAAATTCTGAGTTGTATGTATGTAAAACTGTGATATATTGAATATGCATTATCAATATTGTAGATAATAAATTAATACAAATATGTAAAACGTTAAAAGGTCCAGCAAACAAAATAGGCAAGAATACTTCACCTTACTAATTAAATCGGCAGACAAAGTTGGTCATAAATTAAGTCTGTAGAAAAGTTTCTGTAATTCTAATATTTATTGGAAAAATAAGTCCAAGAAAGTAAAATATTTGAGCCAAATTAGTAGTTTTTAGAATTTGAGGAATTTCCATAAAACTTTGTAGATAGTGACGTGAGGCAACACATTTGACATATTTTTCCGATTACTAAACTGCAAAAAAGAGGGTTATATTTTTTCTTCCTTTATGAGTTCATTTTCATAATGGCTATTAATGATTCTGTTTAGTAATAAGGGGGATAACGTAGTGTCCCTACAAATGTATACCACACTTATAAATAAAGTTTAAAATAAGTTGCACGTAAAACCCATTTGGACGAATTTCCATAAAATTTTGTATGTAGTGACGTGAAGCAACTTACATATTTTTCCGATTAATAAACTTCAAAAACGGAGGGTTATATTTTTCTTCCTTTATGAGTTAATTTTCATAATGGTTATTAACGATTCTGTTAGTAATAAGGGGGATAACGTAGTGTCCCTAAAATGTATACCACACTTATAAATAAAGTTTAAAATAAGTTTTAACTGTTGTGTAATAATTTGAAACTATATCGATGATATTGTACCTTTTTACAACAGTGACCTTTATCATAAAACCTCAGTTACCTATTAATCAAATAACTTAAACAACTAACATTTATATTGTTTTTATAATTATATTTATAAAATGCTTAGAATATTCTGACTTCTTTACAGTTTTGGTTTTCATTGTAACTAATGCAATTAAAGAAATAGTAGTAGAATTCTTTAATTTAATTGAATATTTTAAGCATTTTATAAATATAATTATAAAAACTTTTCTTGCAGTATCAAAAATTGTCAGACTTAAATTATTCAGACTGGTGGCCAATATCGGTATGATTTAATACTTAAACTGTTAGTACTGAACTGAACTTTGTGATATTTTAATCTTTACCTGATGGAATAGTTCGTGGCATCTTTAGATGACTATTACTAGTTAGGCACCTATTATGCGGTCCACAAACGTGCAAAAGCTTCTTTTCAGTTTTAATAAATTTTATTTTAACAAATACGAGTCGTGTAGCTTCGTCGTACGATTTCATGGGAGTAAAACCAGTACGATTCCTGCGAGGACCACTGAAACTGTTATAGAAAATTTTGTGCTGTGCCGACTTACCAAGGCAGTGAAATGATGAATTATAACACTGAGAAAAAACCATTACCATTTATTTAATGGTTATAACAATAAATTATATATTAAGAAACTAGTTTATTTTTATTTCTCAAAAAAGACTAGTTAACTGACTGATCGTAAATTTAACAATTAAAAAACATTATAATCACAAAGACTTACGTGGATGTAGAGCTTTTAACTATAAAGGTTTTTATAGGATAAACACTCCTATTCATGAAAAGCTGTACTGTTCTGATCTGACCTATCACCTATTGCGATAATTGTGTCGCCAAAAGAATGCAAGCTTGTAAATTCTTGATTTAAAGCAGTTTACAAAATCATGTTAAAGGCCGGCAACGCATCTGCGATTCCCCTGGTGTTGCAGTTGTTCATGGGCGGCGGTAGTCACTTACCATCAGGTGAGCCGCATGCTCGTTTGCCCCCTCTCCTATAAAAAAAAATGTTAAATTATAACCTGGCGGCACTGTCGTCGCACCACAATCTGAACGCACTGCAGCCTAAATCGCACTATCAAAGTTCCGAAGACTTCAGACCAGAAGGTTGCGTGTTCATATCACGTCGGGGTCACCACTTTGGTCGTGAGAGGAAAAGACTGCTCTCACGACCAACACATCATTATGATGGCGGTACAAGTCGTGACCACAAATTGTATCTACACAGTTGCAGATTTAAAGGTATGTTTGATGAAGTGCTAGCAAGTACGAGAAGCGACTGAATGTGTACTATATTGAAACGGTAGTACAAACACGAATTACATTCACTACCAAGGCTCATGTCTAGTGCCGCGCCTTTCTACACAACGCCTATTTTGTAAGTAAAGGATAGCAATCAAAGTCTTTACATATGCACCTGTTTATATTATTTATCTATTTAAGCTTGTACAATAAATTAAATGCTTACATTGTGTTAGTTAAACATAATAATAAAGTTATGATTCTTAGTAAAATTTTCTAGTTCCTCTGCACTGATGTCTTCATTACCTTGAATGTCTAATTTTTCTAATTCAATATTTGGAAATCCTTTTAAAGTGTGTAGTAATAATTTGAAACTATATCGATGATATTGTACCTTTTTACAACAGTGACCTTTATCATAAAACCTCAGTTACCTATTAATCAAATAACTTAAACAACTAACATTTATATTGTTTTTATAATTATATTTATAAAATGCTTAGAATATTCTGACTTCTTTACAGTTTTGGTTTTCATTGTAACTAATGCAATTAAAGAAATAGTAGTAGAATTCTTTAATTTAATTGAATATTTTAAGCATTTTATAAATATAATTATAAAAACTTTTCTTGCAGTATCAAAAATTGTCAGACTTAAATTATTCAGACTGGTGGCCAATATCGGTATGATTTAATACTTAAACTGTTAGTACTGAACTGAACTTTGTGATATTTTAATCTTTACCTGATGGAATAGTTCGTGGCATCTTTAGATGACTATTACTAGTTAGGCACCTATTATGCGGTCCACAAACGTGCAAAAGCTTCTTTTCAGTTTTAATAAATTTTATTTTAACAAATACGAGTCGTGTAGCTTCGTCGTACGATTTCATGGGAGTAAAACCAGTACGATTCCTGCGAGGACCACTGAAACTGTTATAGAAAATTTTGTGCTGTGCCGACTTACCAAGGCAGTGAAATGATGAATTATAACACTGAGAAAAAACCATTACCATTTATTTAATGGTTATAACAATAAATTATATATTAAGAAACTAGTTTATTTTTATTTCTCAAAAAAGACTAGTTAACTGACTGATCGTAAATTTAACAATTAAAAAACATTATAATCACAAAGACTTACGTGGATGTAGAGCTTTTAACTATAAAGGTTTTTATAGGATAAACACTCCTATTCATGAAAAGCTGTACTGTTCTGATCTGACCTATCACCTATTGCGATAATTGTGTCGCCAAAAGAATGCAAGCTTGTAAATTCTTGATTTAAAGCAGTTTACAAAATCATGTTAAAGGCCGGCAACGCATCTGCGATTCCCCTGGTGTTGCAGTTGTTCATGGGCGGCGGTAGTCACTTACCATCAGGTGAGCCGCATGCTCGTTTGCCCCCTCTCCTATAAAAAAAAATGTTAAATTATAACCTGGCGGCACTGTCGTCGCACCACAATCTGAACGCACTGCAGCCTAAATCGCACTATCAAAGTTCCGAAGACTTCAGACCAGAAGGTTGCGTGTTCATATCACGTCGGGGTCACCACTTTGGTCGTGAGAGGAAAAGACTGCTCTCACGACCAACACATCATTATGATGGCGGTACAAGTCGTGACCACAAATTGTATCTACACAGTTG